TACTGATGAGCTTAGATGAGGAGGAAGGGTGCTTGGGAAGGAGGATGGAGAGCTTCAGGGGTGTGGAGGCGGAGGTATGTGCCTTCATGAGCAATCAGGTCCTGTTTGATGGCGCAGTCTGGATCGCAGGACTTGTTGCGGTTGCTTCAAATATGACACCCCTCCCCCCCACCTCCTTGCACCTTCTAGAAATGTCTCGCAAGCCTGATTCTTGTCTCGAAAGCAAAGACTGACCCCGAAATCTCTACAGGGTAGGTGGCTTGCTGGAACAGAGAAGGAGAAGCGGAAGAGGTTCTGTCTGTTGGACACGAGGGTTAGCACACGCACTTTGTTCGAGAGGGAGAAGGCGACCGCCTTATCTAGCACAGCCACTGTGGACATCGCCATCAAGTATCCCGTCCTGTACATCGCCGTCTACAAGAACGATCGTCCACCCCGCGAAAACGACGAGTTCCACTGGACCTTCTTGATCGGTCCGTCGACCGAGACGGCCGAGTCCGAAGGCGTTCGTTGCGCTCTGGAACTCCACCTCGATTCAAACGGTCGGCCAACTTGGGATTACAACCAGACCATAGTTCCGCTTCGCGGCGAAGACGACCTCCTTGCGCGCATGTTGATTGCGGAGGTTGTGGACCTAGGCCCGCTGGGGGAGGTCCTACGCGATCACGACGCAACCCCGACGATCGAACGCACGGAATCCATGGCGGGGGTTTTGGAATGGAACAGTCTTGCATGGGTCCGGGAAAAGTTGGGCACGTTGGAGAAGAGGCCGGAGTGTTTCGCGTACAAGTGCCACCATTTCGGCATGTTCGAGCGGGTGGGTAGGGAACTCGCGGGAGGATCGAAGCAGCAGCGGAAGAATGGGGTGCGGCCGTTGGGCGTTGAAGCCAGGACGCTTTGTTTGGTGAATGGCTGGGGAAAGCCAGACGATGACGAGACTGGGATCGATATTAAATCCGACCTCGCACGTGGAGAACCGAATACGATATCGAGGGCCACTCAGATTGTCACCGGTGTCTTGGGTGCGGCTGCCTCGGCGATGCCTCGACGGGTCGCTGAAAGAGAGCAGCGAGAATTAAAGGGTAAGCAGGAGAGAGAGGCGCGTGCTAAACATGGAGGAAATGAAGATGCCACTAGTTTGGCTGAACCGACGAAGCTTCAGCGTGTGAATGAGGAGGACGAAGAGGATACAGATGAAGAGGATACGGGTGAAGAGGATACGGATGAAGACGGGGAAATTAGGGTCAAAACCATCACAACTGTCAAGTTTGCTGAGCCGAATAAGCCCGAGAATGCGTCTGGGGGGAAGCAAGTAGCGAAGCAGGATGAAACCGAGAGTGAAGACCAGACCGAAAGTGAAGACGAAGATGAGACCGAGAGTGAAGACGACGAGGACGACGATGAAGATGACGACGATGAGGCTGCAGACAAGGCAAATGGCTCTGCAGAGGAGGACACCGGAAAGAAAAGGATGAACGCAAGGCCGGAGGGTATTCGGGGTACAAGTACCCACATTGCGGAATTGACCAAGCCTGGGGGAGCGCCCGGGGAGGAAAGGGTTGCAGAGGAGGATGAGGAGGACGAAGATGAGACGGAGAGCGAAGAGGGTGAGGATGAGGATGGAGACGAGGAACAAGATGACGATGATGATGGCGATGATGGCGATGGCGATGACGAGGACGAGAGCACTGATGAAGATGACGATGATGAAGGGGATGACGAGGGAGACGAGGAGGAGGAAGAAGAGGACGGGGTGGCTGAGAAGTATAGCAGGGTCCAGACCACCGTGGGGAACATTTCAACAATCACCTTATCTCGATGAGAGAAATCCGTCCCCGACGGCGAGGAAGGAGCCTCGGGTTGGTAAAGGACGGCGGAGGCCATCATGACGACGAGTATGCGCAACACGACCGATGGAAGTCTTATGAACAGATGGCGCCGGCGCAGCGTCTGCATGTATTCGAATCAGTGTCGAGGGAGCATATGCGTCATCGGGAATCAAGTGCTGCAGTGGTTCAAACGGGACTGGCGTACACGGATGGGTATCGATGGGTTCAGGCGTTCAGGTCATTGTCAGTCTGGTATGAGTCGCTGTCTAGAGTAGCAGTGACGTTGTAGCTAATATAAACACACGTGGCGCGTCTTTATCTCTGCGATGCGAAAAGCTTGTGCTATCGCTTGAGTGAAATGATCGCTGCCTTTCTCGTCTTCGAACTTGGAAGCCGAATCTCTGCGTTGGTATACGGATATCGCTGATTTTGGCAAATGGCCCGTGGGATCCGGAATGTCCTTCTCGATCAACGAACTCGGTGTCCTGGGAAGATTCCATTCCTGGCGGATCGGGCAGCGAGAAGCTGCGCAGGAGATGCGTCTGTTGGCCCCTGAAAGTATGAAAGTCGCAAAGGAGAGTAGAGAATAGGGTAAGGCAAGTTCCGGGACTATGACCGTGCAGGATAAAATGACGTGGCTGGATTGGACTAAGGCCGCCTCGGAGTGTGGTTGAGGGAAGGAAGATATTACTAGAAGATGTGGACGAAGAAGAGAAAGAAGATGACGGTGACGATGAAGATCGGGAGGAAAAGGAGGAGCAGCAGGTCGAGCAAAGACCATGCTGAAGACAACCAGAACGGTCACAATTCGACTTTGAAGCCGCAGAGTATCTCCAAGGGAGGACGAATCCCCAGCCGTGTAGACTGCCGTGCTTCGACACGTAATACTGGCTGTGAGGTGAAATGGAATGCCCGACGCATGTCATGGTTGGAACAGCTCCTGAAGCCAAACGAGTGAAGATGTTTGCCAACGGATAATCAGCAATGCAAGTATGTATTGTAAAGGCAATATATCTTGCGTAGTATGCATACAATAGACTCTCGAAACACTGCAAGCTCAAATGTAGGTCTCAATGGATTACGAAATGACCAGGAAGTGGATGGGAGCGTAGCTGGCCCAAGTACGTTTGCGGCCGATCTATCCGTGACGCAGATGCTAGAATCGTTGTTGAGTCAGCCGCGCACACAGATTGAGAACATAGACGAACAACGTTTCTCAACCACCAAGTTGGTTGGCCTATCACTTGCGAGTAGGAATGCAAAGAGCGGCTACCGTCGCAGCTCTACAATGAAGATCACGTAGTAGGTGTACAGGCAGTCATCAACTGAAAGCAACGATATCAAACCGTAGCAAGACAAAGCACGAAATCTCCCACGAGGCAAATGGATTGTCGTCCTAGGCCATGAAGAGTATTGCCTTGCTTATGAAATTAAAGGGCAGCAAATTTCGGCTATGCGAGGCAAACTTACCCTACCCGGCCTACCATGCTGTACCAACGCTCGATATACTGGTGGAAGAGGCGCTGCGTTTGTCCCGGAGCAGCGAAACGAACCGACTTTGGCTGGAGAAGCAGGCACGAAGGATAGACGATAATTGAGACGACCAGAGTACCGGAGAACGAAAAGCCAACAGCACTAGATAATGCCATGTTAGAAATCTTGTTCCTAGAGGAGACTTGCTATACAAAAGACCACGCTCTTCTCTTTCTGTCAAGACTTGGTCACTTCCAGAAAATACAGATCCTCGGGTGAATGCATGCGAACTAGCTTCTTCGACAAATAGACGCGTCACGCTGGAATTACAACCAAGCTTCCTCAAGTACTTGACAGTATGCCCGCCCCCAAGGATTTTTTATTAGGAATGAAAAAGCCCCGCCTTTACGTAGCCCTCTATGCTCTCGAGGGAGCTCTCCGCGAGAACACATCCTCTGGTGCGCAAGACTACTACTGGGCCTTCATCGTTGCTCCAAAGAAAGGACCCAAAGAACAACAGTGCATACGCTACCGCATCAAGAAAAGTGAAGCATGGGAGAAATTAAACCCGGGCAAAGTGGAATTTGAGAGGGTGGAATGGGACCATGACAGATGTCTCGTGCCGCTTGGCCGTCACGACGATATTGTAGCCCGAGTGTTGATCGCAAAGATCGAGGAGCCCGAAGCCGTGGAAGAGCATATACAGCTCGCGTGGCCTGAGCAAACGATGCACGTCAAGAATTCTGGCAGCGCTCGGACGTCGAAGGATTGGGTCCAAAGAGTCCTCGAGGGATTGGGGAGCCCCTCGCTCGGCCTAGGAGGGGAAAGGTATCTGGTGTTGGGGAAATTGGCGGATTGGGGGAAGATAGAAAGTTGTTGTACCAGTTTCGCGATGAAGGTGGTGGTGGAAAGGGCAAGCCTTGAGACTGTACCGACTTTTGATATGCTGAAGAACCAGGAGGTCTTCCAGTAGTGTCGGAAACCACAAAGCTTGATCACTTTGCTGAAGGTCCTAGGTTCTTGGGAAGTCTTCGGGTGCCGCAATGTAGCTTGAGCTGCCTTCGAGCAGATTCCCTATGAGGACTGCGTGCTGATGACCATTCCTGACGGTTGGCGGAGCAGAAGCGAAAAGGTTCCACTGCTTTAATTGATTTGGGTCTGGTGACATTGATTTGAACGACGATTGCCACCTGAGCTCAGCTTTCTGCTTTGCTGAAACTGGATGCAGAACAACTTTTAGAAAGTCAGTATTATTGCCACCATACCGATTTCTAGATCTGCGGTCAGGAGGGCATGCTTTAGCCCATCAGATGTGTACTTGCTAATGTAGTCTGAGATAGCTGCATAGTTCCAAGAGTCAAGCAGTATTGTTTCCTGCAAGATATTTTCAGATTCGAAGCCTGGAAATGTTCAATCTTTGGGGGTGCATATAGTGGGGGATGTGCGCCAGGCAGCCCCCTAAGCCTCCCTTAAATGCCTGTGACGCTAGTCTAAGACTCCCCATAAGTACCACAAAGACCTACATATTCTGCTCCAGACCTCGTGCATCGTTGACAATTTTCGATCCATCTTAAATCGATTCCCGCTCTGGAATAATTGCCTGCAGGCATCGCTATAAATGATTATCGTTTCTCTTAAGGAATCACCCTTCTCGCTTCCCAAACCACTCACCACTCACCCCTCCACACAACAGCACCCTCAAGCAACTTCGGCTTCAATCAAACCCTCCATCCCCGCCTCAAACGCCCAAACCTTCACCAACCGGAACCCCGCCCAATCCAGCAGCTCCTGCCAATTCTTCTCCGTGCGGTGTCCCGACGAGGAAACGGCCATCAGCAGCAGATCCAGGCCCGTACTCACAGCCGGCGCGCCTTTGTTGGGGATCACGACCTCGTTGATCAGAAGCTTGCTGTAACCTTTGGCGAGGGCGGGTTTGAGGTTGGAGAGAATGTCTTTACATTTGGAGTCCGGCCAGTTATGGAGGACGGAGTGGAGGTAGTATGCTCGTGCTCCTGGGGTATGCGGGTCAATACACATGTAGAATGCTTTTGGGCTTGCTTCATGTTGTCGTCACCTTTGATAGGCTGGGGCGTGAAGAAATCATACGCCATAGCTCTAATGCCCTTCTCAGCTAGACCTGCCTTTGCTCTCTCGACAAACTCTTCCTGATCTTGCAGTACCAACTCTGCCTTCACACTCGGCATCCTTCTCCGAAACTCCTCAAGATCCTGGCCCATCCCTCCGCCTACGTCAACGAGCAGTACCGCCTCCTCCTTTTCACTTAAGCCTTTGACTATTCGATCCTCTGCTGGAAAGAAATCCAGCCAGCTTGGCCGGCCTTGTGTGTAACCTGCCATGAAATTGCCGAATTGTTGGTATATTAATGGATGTTCTTTCATCCATTCAAAGGTGTGGAGAGGCGTGTTGTGGCCATATTCTGCGCAGATTTCGGATGTCAGACATTCTTCAGAGCCATTGCTCCTGCAACATGTCTTGCAATCTAGGCTTCGCCGTATCAAACGAGCATACAGCACTCCAAAATGTACTTACGAAATGGCCCATCTGTAGGATTTGTCGGATTCTTAAAGCCGGTCGAGGCGAGGTATTTGTGCAATTGCCGTAGTGGAGGCCCGGCGGCGTCGTTGCTAATCAACGTCCAATCTTGTCAGTAGCGATCTTGAAGAATGCTGATTAGAACTTCGAGCTTGTTACGAACACAGTAGGAAAAGCATCTCGATATTTCGGTTCAATCAGCGCATTTGAAAGCCCAGTCGGTGCGAATGTATCCGCATCAACTTCTTCAATAACTCTCGCGGCCGCCAAATGCTTCAATATGCGGCCTGAATGTATCGGAAAGGCATTAGTACCGTTCGTTCGCAGGAATAGCCCACCATGAAGTGCGATTATTGCAACATACTCAGCAACACAGGGTCTGCACCAGTCATAGCAGCCAGTTGGCTATTGCTTTTCGCAGCACCATCATCCTCGACCAATTTCTCGAAAAGATTCATCTCGATCCCAGTCCGAATGGCAGGATGTGTTTGGGCCTGTTCAATACATACGTCAGCGATGAGGTGAAGATGTCTCTTTGTCTTCAGTAGGGAGATTGAGGTAGCTCACTTCCGCCCAGCATATTCGAAGAAGAGATTCAATCGGCGTTTCGAGCTTGTAGCAGAGGGAGCGGGCGGCGGCCAACAATTCTCTTCTGGCATCTCCGTTGTTTGGTTTTTCCAATATGGCGCCTTTGAATGCGATTTCTTGGAGAAGGTTGTGAATATTTGATGTTGAGTTCATCTTGGATAGAAGTCCACAGCAGAAGTTCTTGGAAACATAGACATTTGAGTGTGCGATGACGTTGGGTCAAGAATGTACAGACGGTTGAGAGTCCAAGACGCCAAAGAAAGGTCGCTGCTTCTGCGGCCATACCATTAGCTGCAGCGCCGGGATGTCGATCATGCTAAGGCTAGAACAGGCGTCTTTTCTTTTTCTGACTCTTCTGAAATATGAAATGGTGAGAAGACGGAAGTCATGGCCTCCAGTCTCCCAAACGGATGATTTGAAGAGATTTTCTCGTCCATGTTAGCATCTACATTCGACCTGGAGAATCAGACTTGGCGCTCACAAGCAATATATGGATATAGCTAGACAGATATGTGACAGCGTTATATTTGGTACTTCCAGCATCCCATGCCAGATTGCGCCTAATGTCCAAAGTGCCCTGTAGATATCTCATTATGCGTCACCTCATCATTCGTAAACATTCAGTCATTTCCGCCCCGCAGATGATATAGTGGTCGTAGCATCCAAGGATCTTGTACCCTCAACTAAGGAACAACTTCCTCCCCCGTCAGCATATCGAACGTGGCCACATCCTCCTGCCGCCCTCCTTTCCATCCGATCTCCCACCTCCTCTCCTGCCTTTTCCTCCTCATATATCTGAGCGCTTCCTCTCTTATTCCGTCCCAGGTGAATCCATTGTTGGAAACAGCATCGGCGCGTCGAAGCGCTGCGATGGCGAGCTGAACCCACTTCACACAGTGGAAAGCTTCGCCTTGTCCACTGGGATCGTCGACTTGATGTACGGGGACTTCGCGCAAGATCTGATTGACGCGTCCTAAAGGCACAAGGATCTTCTCGATGGCGATGCAAGCGAGAAGACGTGACTCCAGAGAAACATCGGGGATGTCGATAGTCTCATAGAGCCAGGGTTGTGAAATGATGTCGTCTGTCTTTTGAAGTTTGTTGTGAACGTGGAATTTGAGGGCGGCCGGGGCATTTGAGGGTTTTGGTCGAATGAGGAGAGCGTAGTGGTAAGTGTCTGGATATTTGGGACGAGCGTAGAGCGCAAGGTGCAGGCGTGGTTTGTTACGCATGATGTTGGTTGGGGATGGTGCTGATGGTATGGTCGAAAGCTGGATGCAGGGTCCAATATGAAAGAATGGATAAGACTTCAAGCCCCGCTTTAACTTTCTTATCTTTTGCTGCTCGATAATGTACCCTTTCCTCCGGTCTGTGCTAGTCTAATTTCGTCTTAAATACACGCGCAACTCATTGCCGCTGCCAGTAAATCTGCGAAGATTGAAGAACCTCGTGGCTTTGCAGGGACTGTTGAAGGTCCAGAGCTTTTTTAGTACAGGTGTCGTGTGTTCCCAGGCCCCGCTTCTCGTGTTTCACCACGTGGTGGCTTCCTTTTTTTAAAGGCCTATTGTTGCAGCCGGCATATGTGTCTGCACATCTCATTGCCGATGCCAATAGACTTTTAAAGAGCCATATCGTCGGTTTGCCGTAATTGCTCAGAAATGTGGTATGAAATTGGACCATTGCACCGAATCAAACGCACCACTAGGAAGCGAGCGAAGGCTGACGAAGACCTCGACAACGATGTAAGTACGTGCCACCGTGTACATGATAGTCACAGGCGACATGATGACAATTTCCCAAAACGGAATGAATTCCATCTCGCGTCTCTTCTTTTCCATAGTGCTCACCCTGGCAATATGGACAGGGTTCTTGGGAAATATTATCAGGTACCAGCGCTGCCAGCGGCCGACACGATGTCCATCCTGATAAGTTTCGCAGGCAAGGAAGATGAAGGTGGTCGCAACGATGGTGATACAGCCCACTCGCCAGATTATGCGCTCCACGTGGGTTGGGAAGTCAAAATTCCAGGCAATGAAGTGTATGCAGCAGTAGGCTAAAATGATGATGAATAGAAATATAGCGTCAGGGCTTGCTCCAATGACAGGAAACTTGTCATTCGTGAAACGAGGTAATGGTCGTTCACGTGGGCCCATCTTAAATCGTAAATGAGGCTGGATTTCTGTGAGCCAGGACGGAGACTGATCGTCAACGAAATCAAGAGGGGTCTGGCTGTATGGCTTGCTTGCGTTAGGCATATTTCCAGCCTCGATGAGGATCTCCTTTGTGCTTTTCTGGATCTCGATTATCGTGTGGCTCTCGACATCTAGAGGCTTGTCGGACCATTGGTAGTAGGAGGCGAAGGTACAGAATACGAAACCAAATGTGGCGAGCTCAAGCGTTGTGACAGGGAGATGCTGGATTGCGCGGCCCAAGCACTGAAGAACAAACCACCCCGTTTGCAACAAAGTCAAGGCCTTCTGGAACCTGTCTTGCTTACTTTTGTCCCAGATCTCTTTCGCTGTGGTGGTAGGGAAGGGAGTATAATCTCGAGTCACGAGGTAGTGCAATTGTTTGGAGTTGACTGGGAATGGCTGACTATCGCGCGGCTGCAAAACGAAGCCACCCATGTTGGCATAGAACCCATGGCGCATTGTCCACTCGCTGTACCCAGAATTCTTCCACATCTCTACCGAGCGTCTCGCTTCGACTTTCTGACCTGTAGCAAAGCCGACAATGAATTCGGGAGCCATGATGGCCTGTACCATCCACCGAAGCTTGCGGAACCATCGATGCAGGTATTTCTCATGAAGCGATGGTATGTTGAGGTGGAGGGAGGTCCATGTGCAAAGGAAGATGGTGAGAAGAGAGCCCCATATGATATCGAAGGTGCCCCGGCCATTTGGTGAGCTCACCCATCCTTCCTGGCGTCCAGAAGACGTCGCATTCGTTGTGGCTACTGCTGCTGCTTCCCCAAGATATAAATTAAAGATAAGGAAGAGGTGTGCCATTGCGCCATACGCTCACTGCCCGCGCGCAAGGCAAGAATCGGGCATCACCGCTTGCAAGACCTTGCATTTGCATTTGCTGGTCCTAACAACATTGGACGCCTCGATTGGGGTTCCTAAAGCATTCGAGCATCTCTTGGGGGGCTTGTAGGGTAGAGCCATACCTCTCGAAGCTCTGGGGTCATCTGAGTAGAGGCGGTCAGCGTTCTGGCGGGCGAGGTTGGAAAAATTGTAGGATTAACCGTCCGGCGCTAGCTTCGAGCCTGCTAAGCGAGCCAAGGCAGCCTCAAAAACTGGCAGTTTTTGGGGGCGGCGAGAGAGGCTGTAACAGCCACGTTCGGACAGCAGCTTACAGCCTCAACACCGCACACGCCGAAAATTGCTGCCTCGTAGAATGCAATAACAATCTTCGCTTCCTCTGCTTTCCTCTGGTATATCTCAGGTCACACTCCTTTGTTCATGTCTGTTCTTGCGGAGCATATCTTTTATTTGTCTCTTCCTTTGATACAATAATACCAGCGTAATTCCGCTTCCGCCCTTCATGAGTATGAGCAGAGACCCCCTTCTGGGAGATTTCTCTTTCGAGAAAAGCGACAAGATATGCTACGAGCCTTCTACAGACTCGACCGATAGAAAGACTCAAGACTATCTGATTTATTTCTTGCCGGGAAACCCAGGCTTGATTCAATACTACCAACCTTTCTTGTCTAGACTGTATACTCTGCTCTCCAGCTCGGCCACGACCGAGTCTTCTAGATTTCACATTTGTGGCCATACCCTTAGGGGCTTTGAGTCTGCTCAGGATGGCAAGAAAACCAAAGCCCCCAGATACCCGCTTGGACTCGAGCAACAAATCGAATCCCAGGAGCAACTTCTTTACAATCACATAAAGTCTCACCGGGAACGTACTGGTAACAATCCCAAGGTCATACTCATGGGTCATTCCGTCGGATGTTACATACTCCTTGAGCTTATTCAACAACATCGAGGAAAGATTGAAGGAGAAGGTGAAGAAGACTTTGATCTCATTGGCGGAATCTTGCTGTTTCCTACCATCACGCATATCGCGAAATCGCCTTTGGGAATGGTATTCGGTGTAGGTAGTTTTGACCCTCTACCAGGCTTGCAGCTAAATTTCGCTTCGAACCAGAAAATCCTCCAATTTCCGTACTTTCCAGAAATCGTCGGCACCATCGCGAAAGCTCTGGCGTCGCTGGTCCCGGAGAGCTTCCTCCACAGGCTTGTCAAGCTAGTCACCAGATTTCCCGAGTACGCAGCAACAACCACTACCTCGTTCATCAAAAGCCCGATGGGCGTTAGACAAGCATTGCAAGTGTTGTCCCTCCAGAACCATTGATCCCAGCTAACAGGTTCTCCAGGCATCTTGCCAAGGATGAAATGACAAAAATCACAGACGATCAATGGGACGAAGAAGTCTGGGGGGCTGCAACAAGTAAAGGGACGAACAACCGCGACACGGCAAATTCGAACCTTACTTTTTATTGGGGGAACAAGGTATATTCATTCACGGACAGCGATACCTAATCAATTCTGACATAACGTCAGGACAGGTGGGTAGCCACCCATACCAGAGATGCTTTGATAGCAGCTCGGGGCCACTTATCAAACAGTCAGACTGAGTCTGGATCGGAATACTGGAAACCGGTCATGATGGTCGACAATGAAGGAATGCCTCACGATTTCTGCACGACTTTACGCAACAGCCATAGCGTAGCCGGCAAAGTCAAGGGCTGGGTAGATGGCATCATTGAAGCTCATAGCAAGGAGATTTCCTAAACCACGAAACACCGAAGCCTTTGGCAGGCCGAAGCTCCATGCAATGCATGGTGGAAACGAATCTGCAATTCTGGCTCGAGCACATGAGTCCATTCCCCTCAATACGCTGTTCCACCAAAGGCAACTCCAAGCTGACGCCCAGATCTCTTGGCGGCGAAGCCAAATCAAATCCTTCCCGAAGGAGTCATATTCTAGAAGGGCGGAAACCGAATCCGCTGTTGCTGCCCGCTTTCCATTTCCCAATCCCTCACCAACGTGTACCGTGTGGTCTGATTCCGATATCCGAACTCCGAGTTCCAAAGGCAAGAATGGACCAGCATATCAACAAGGGCCCGGTGCTCGGCTCTCATTGCCTGTGCTGTAAAGGTCCCCTGTGATTCGAATCACTACTCCTTTATAGGCAACAATTATGATTGGAGGAACAATTGAGTCTTGACATGAGCTTCACCGCTCTATGTGGAAAGCTACGAGATGTGTAGAGGCGGGCGAGTGGGTCGTTCCTACAGATGATCCAGAGCAGGGAGAATGGTGCAATTGATGCGGCAGCGGCTGGCGACGGCTCGCTAGGGAGTCGGCTCATGGCGAGTATGGATTTCAGTAATCATATTGACTTTTTTGTGTTGGTTGGATTTGTAAGCATTGGCTGCTTTGTGCTCTCAAGAAGAGGTGTAGAAGGGCAAGAAAGTGGGAAAACGTGGCTTTGAAGCGATATCGGACGCCAAGAAACAGGCTTATCATGGCGCTAGCTTAATGTGTATTGGCGTTTAGACCTCCTCTACATCATTGAACTGCAATATGCCAACAAGCAGCGTTTTCAATCATCATATCAATTATTAATGTGACTCAGAATGTTGGGCATTGGCCCCATTACATATCATCCCAACTCCAAGCACGTCAGCTTTATAAGTAATATACAATGTCTCCAATTGACCAAACTTCTTCCCCATAGATACGATTTGAAAAGAAGAAAAACTCCAATCCCACCAGCTTCCAATCGTGCCAGTCAAGCTTCGTGATACCCCTCCAAACCCTTGACCAATCCACCAATTCTCTTCCAGTCGCGGTCCCACCCCATCTCTACTTCTCAGCTGTCATGCACCCCGAGATTACCATGTTCATGGAACAACGAAGGGGCTCATTGGCCAGGATGAAGAAGTTGGTCGTGACGCCCAAGCCAGTCATCGAGGTCACTCTCACAGACGACCAGAAAGACGCATTCGTGCCTCAATATACATCCTTGGATGAGATAAAAGGACAAGTCTCCATCACTGCTTCATGTGATACGAGCTTCGACGACATCTACATTACTTTCGAGGGTTCTACCCGCACTTTCGTTGAGAAAATTGCTACTACGTCCCCCACGAACGGCAGGACTGAAGCTTTTCACAACTTCGTCCGTCTAGTTCAACCTATGGATTCCTCAGCGTTTCCCGACCCTCGAGTCATTGAAGCGGGAAAGACCTACAAATTTCCCTTCACCTTCGTCGTTCCAGACACCTTACTGCCACAATCGTGTACTCACCCCACGAATCCCAGATTTCCAGAAGGCGGTCATATGGCACCTCCTCCAAGCTTAGGTGATCCACTGGTTGCAAGTATGGGAAAGTCACTTATGGACGATATGGCACCGGACATGGGTACAATCGCGTACTCAGTTAGAGGTCGGATAACCAGTGGTCGGGCGGCAAGTGGGAAGCACAAGACCATGGCAGAGGGGTCAAAGAAGCTTCGAATCATACCAGCTATGGAGGAACAACCACCCCTTGATGTGATAGTCGAGGGTGATGACCGCTACGACTATAAGATGCGACGGGAGAAGAGCATCAAAAAGGGCACATTCAAAGGGAAACTAGGCCGTGTCGTGGTCCAGTCGGCACAGCCACAAAGCCTCAGATTGCCATACTCCAAGGGGCCTGATGCCGACTGCAGTCCCACTACAATGGCGACCGTGAACGTGCGATTTGACCCAATCGAGGAATCTTCCCCTCCGCCAGGCTTGAACACGCTCCAAGCGAAGCTAAAAGTGGCGACTTTCTTCACCAGCGTTCCCATGGATGAGATACCTACAAAGTCTAGCGACTTCCACTACAGCAGTGTCCGCGGAATATTTGTCGAAACTTTGAACCTTTCTTCTCGCTGTCTCTCGAACATTGAGTGGCAAAGGCACACCTCCTCGACATTCAACCTTCTCAGTCGTCGAAATTCCGGGATACCAAACCCTTCCGAGGCCTATAACGGCGGGTCCTTCTACACAGCTAAGGTCGTTGTACCGGTCTCACTCCCTAAGGGCAACAAAGTCTTCGTCCCCTCCTTCAACTCTTGCCTCGTGTCCAGGATCTACGCCCTCGACTTGTACCTCTCCATCAATACTCCGAATGCTACAGTCACAGATCCAACACTCCACCTCAAGCTACCAATACAAGTGTCGTCCGAAGGAAACCCTAATGCGAAACCCACAATCTCCGCAGAGGTATTGTTCAATCCCTCCTATGAACGTCTCTCACCAGATTGTTGGCCCGTAGATTATGCGCTGATATCCGTTACTCCCCACAGGAACACGCCGCAATCGCCGCAAGGGAGGCAAACGCCTACTTCGATCCTCGCAGCGTAGCCCCCCCAAGCCCAGAGTATACCGAACACGCGCGGCTAGACGCCCCTCCAAACCGCGCAATGGCGGGAAACATAGGTGACAGTCCCCAATATAGCGTGCGGACAAGCGGCGCGCAACCCAGGTTTCAGTCATTGAGCTTCGAGGGAGAGGAAGCGGCGCTGGCGCTGGCGCCGCCGCCGGAGTACGCCCACATTGGAGGCAGGAATAGGCAGAGGGTCACGAGCAACGTCCCGAGTCCGTTGGGGTCGCCCAGGTTGATATAGGTGCGTTGGAAGGGGAAAGGAACCCCATGGAGAAGCTTGCGCGGGAAGGGAAAGAACTTATTGATGAATTTGTATCAGGAAGGGATAAAGGGCACGAATTTGGTACCGGTGGCACGGCGTTTGGGTTCCCATCCCTGTTTGTTACATGATACCCACGGCTTTTTAACCATGATGGATGTCTATCGTATCGGATATTAGCCAGGTCGATAGTGCTAGCTTTTCAGCTAATCTGATGTTCCAAACTCGCAGTAGGATGGGTCACTGCCCCTTGATTCATTGGCTCGGTGTTTTGTCCTTTAGTTCCTTGATACGGTGGGGTTTCCATCCCATTCTGTTTCAAAGATTGATCGGTGTCTCTGGGGGATATCCTGTCAAGTGCATAGCGTTGGAAGATTGAGATATCCACGCTATGGGTATTATATAATCATGTGAAGCAATGCTTGAAGCCCATCATTTTCTACGCCGAAAAATGCTGCCCATCATCTACAACGCCCCGCAGTGTCCAAACGCCTCGGTCGAAAACAAGATTAGAGGTCCGTCAATCAGCTTTGATTGCCCTGCGTCAGTGATTAGTGTTGAATTGAGTAGAGTCGAGTTGATAAGTGGGTCTGGGAGGCAAGCTTACCCATAGATTCTTCTCACAAACGCGTAAGCCGTTAGAAATCCCACCGTCCCTGTCAACAAGCCATAGACAGCACAAGCCAGGAGGCTGTAACTGAAGAACAGCATCCCAGAGATGAATCCCTGGATATGCAGTTTCGTCCAATAGAACCAAACGCAATACATGAAGATCCAGACCGCCGAGCCAGACCCTATGAAGACGGACTGCCACCACCAATGGTAATTCTCCGCACACAGTTGTATGTATGTCGCTACAATGGTGACCTCAACCACAGTGACTATGCAGACGAGCGAGACTACGCTGAGGAAACCAAAGACGTAGTAGTATCCGCTCTTATCTTGCCATATGCTGCGGAAGACGAAGAGCAGTTCGATGAAGATGACGGCGAAAGGTATCAGGCCCGCGAGCAAGATGCTGTAGATGCTTCGGGTGTACCATGGCTGCTCTGGTACTTGGCGAGCAATACTATGTGTCTTGGTGGGGTGTTCGTAAGAATTGCTCCCGTGATAACCGAACCAGCTACCGCAATAGACAAGGGGGAGCTGGATGAGAAGCCAGAGAGCGATGAGACCAACTAGTGTGCCAAAAGGGAGTGCGGTGCTGGAAGCCTGGGCCCAGACAAAGAGGTTGAGGATGAAGATTGTGGAGAAGAGAAGGCCGGGGAAGAGGAGGGCTGTCATGAGAGTATTCCGGCGCCAGTCCTTTCCATTGAACGTCTTGTAGATTCGTCCGGAGAAATAGCCGGAGAATAGGCCGGCAAAGACGAAGAGACCCATGCCAACGCTGACGAAGCCGCCGCGAAAGCTGGGGTTGAGGATCCCGAGGGTGCTGAGAATGAGGAGACCGGTGGTCATGAAGACAAGCTGGGTGCCTGAACCTATCAAGGGGGCTAGGAAGCCGGCATAGCTAGGAGCGCGGAAGACGTCACCGTGAAGGAGCTTCCAGCCTGTGATGTCTTCAACGAACTCTTCGTCCGAGGATGTGTCATGATCGAGATCTGGGTCAGTCTTCTGATCAAGTAAGCCATTTGACTTCTCCCGTGGTGATCGATTGCCGGTCCTTGGCTTCTTCGCTTTGGGCTTGATCTTGCCATCCTCTAAACCTCCGTCCTTAGCACTCCTTCTCCCGTCTCCAGCCACCGTCTTTGCGAGGATCATCACCACGACAGCGGTGAGAAGCCCACAGATCACTAGCGAGTTGATGATGGCCAGCCAATGGATGCTGGTGCTCTCCTCTTGGTTGTTGAAGTATAAGTCCCACCTCTTTGACCATTCGATTCTATCATCCTCGCGGAAATAGACGGCGTAGGAGTATGGTATTGTGATGGTGGAGCCGTCATCAACATCATCGTCCGCGGGTAGATACGATGAGTGAGGATATTGGCTAGCCAGATGGGTATTGTTGGGCGCAATGTAAAGCTCCATGCCGTCTGTGTCGCCATGAACGTCTTGTGGGCAGCCAGTGTTGTCTCTATGGCCTGCCTCGATACTCTTCGTGTACACTTCGAACCCCACAATGACCTTGCCGTCATTTTCGCCGGCCCGTCCTGGCGCCTTTCGCCATCGGAGAACGAGAGTAAGATGATTGTTGATGAAGTATCGGGGCTTCCCAGTGACAGACGAGTAATCCTTGTAACCCATTTTGAAACCTGCTGCGTAATACTTGTGGGTCTTGTCGACTGTCACGAAGCTCGTAGCCCCTGGGAGGTTGTCCACAATCCATTCGGCCACATATCCATCCTCAACCAATTCCTGTGCCCTCTTTATGCCTCGCCGATCGACCTGTCGACTGCAAAGATATTGACATTCGGTATCCTGGCCCATAAAGAGGTCGTAGTCCGAAGTCATAATCCGATCCCCACGAAGCACCTCCCCAATGTTAAGGGAGACGCTTCGGCCACTGGCATAGCCGCCATGCTTCTGGCCCGTTGGTGGGCAAACGAATGGAAGATCGTAGTAAGCGTATTGCAATTGGGTGTTGTCCGAGTAGACCTTGTTGACCTCCAACGGAATGGTTTCATTGTCCACGTAGCTCTTTATTGACCATCCTATAAGACTCCCAATCAGCACTTACACAGTGTTTGAAAAAAAAGGCATGTCCAAATCTGAATTTGGATCCTGTTCTCACCTGGTATGTAGAATGCCCGTGCAGAGGTTATGGCGCCAAAAAGCGCCAGAAGCCTGCTAGACACGATCCGAAAGTCGGCGTGCATCTTGTGAGTAAGGGTGTCGATTAAGGGTCCAAGGGTGTCATAGGACGAGGCATCAAACGAGTGAAGACGGAGATGATTTCGCTGTCGCTGACGCACAAGATGCTCTTCTTTGTGGTCTGCTTGCCCCCTGGCGTCTGAGCTTCGGCAGGAGTCGATAGAGGGGGCTTTCGCGTGGGGGAGGGGCTTCCTGACGGCAAGAACAACAAGACAAACAGTGATCTCTTAACGAGTGAAAATGGCACGTAGTACCAAATTGATTCAACGAATGTAGAATATGATTATTATGAGAGTACTGTATGTAGTATTCAAGTTGAAAAGAAATACCTACCGTAGTTGGATTGAAGGGCGAAGGACAGAAAATACATGTAGAGTACACAGTTACGCATTGCCGATCACCTTCCTATATTGGCGATAGCTTGCCGTTAATCTAGTGTGGATCCCTCCATCATAACTTTCTTCAAGTTTTATAATTAACTGACGCGTCGTCTTGGCTTACACTAAACAATGGCAACGGGCGACGGTGCCGGCAAATCCTGGATAAAACACTTCTCGACTCTACAAATAGCGTATGAGAATTGTACTCTAGCAGACACTGAGGCTTGCTTGTGGGTTGCCAAGATGCATAGACGAAATGAAGCTATTGCGGTAAAGTATGCTTGATCTACCGGCAGGGATTCGGCTTGGTACGTTCTGTAATCACTACGTCTTCCAAATACTTCCTTTGCAAGCCATGTCCCTCCAATCGTGTCAATCCGATATAACTATGTCACCGTCGGAGTGGGCGTAGTCCTGTGAGAGTCATTATTGAAGGGGAGCAGGAGCGAGAATTGACACGCTTCACTGGCTACTGGCCAATAGGGTCTGCCATAGTTTGACTGACACATCCTTTTGTCCTGGTCCTGATGTGCATGATTGTTGGAATTTCCCTTGTCCTTTCCGTGGCGAGCAGACATAGCAGCCATTGTTCTATGTTCCATCGCACTTTGATCTCGTACAAAGCCCCTTGTCTAGTGTCCTCTGTTTGCACCATGCAATTGTTCCACAATGAAAGGGAGATCTTCCTTTCAACGATGTGTCTATTCACTCTCAATGCGATTGTAGGGTGCGTCTATATATTGCATGATCAGCGCCGGCAACTTCGCAATCTCATCATCCTCGCAAGCCTAGGGAACGAAGCAACATTCTCCAGTCCTACGGAACAAGGTAAGTGGCTCGCAATCAACAAGAACGTTGGAGAAAGAACGAAGGTCTTGCAGCAATGTCTATACCAGAGCCGCTCAACCCCAACATCCCCAACGCCCGCAGACTCGCGCGCAAATTCACGCCTCACACTCCATTCCATCATCCGCATCTGGACCCAAATGTGCCCCAAGAAAACCTCCACCTGGTACCGGCGGCGCTGTTCCCAGGAAGGAACCTCAACTGGGAACTGCCGCGACCAGCAGTGACGAATCTCCATGTCATGCTCAAACTCACAAATGAACCCGACAAGGCTCAAAAGGAGTTTCATGATAAGATACCGCAGATAAATGACGTTTTAGGGCTATGGAGTGAACTGAAGGGAGCCAGCCCGACAACGACCGGCGAAGCGCAACTTCGTGCGCAAATATTTGTTGCTGAGGACCAAGGTTGGACTTCTACAGAGGAGGGCGAAGGAACCACCTTTCATCTTGTCAGTAACCTTGATACGCCTGGACGAGCCGATGTCATCTATCTCACTGATGCTGTGGAAGACAGTGGGGAACACGCTGAAGATTTAAGCGTCCCGTTCAATCTCAGAACAATGGAATGGTTGGGCTTCGATGGTTCTTACGTCCATTTGGAGGATTCGAAGCCGAAGATGGCTGCCTTTCCAATAGGGCAGGGCTTCGACTCTGATGAGCAAAGCATGAGGAGGAACAGCACTCCGTCCAATCTCAGGGTCACCGAGTGGCTAGAAGACGAGCAGTACACTGATCTTCCCACTGAGGCCTACAGCTCGGAACCTGGTTCTGATGCTGGAAAAACCTCGAGGGAAACAGGAACCTACGAAAATTTCTGGATCAAACATGACCCTTCCGGACCCGAATTGGCGCTGAATACCGATGAGGGTGAATCGAGTGGCAACACATCTCTGTAGGCACGGCCTCAGAGCATGGGTGTCATGCCTGGAAACTCCACCTGGTAAGCTGCCATGCTTTTCCAGGCTATTTCCCCAATCGAGATGCCAGAATTAGCATATCCCGAGCTTCGGTCCAGCGATTTGCCCAAGGTCAGTAATTTCTGCTCCAGAGTTTCTGCTTGATTAGTTAGCAGAATAGAAGAATTTTCTTCCTTTGATCCACCTGATACCAAGCTTGGAAAGCAAGAGTAGTAATCGCATGAGTTTTGATTTTTCTCCACCTGACGAGATCGTATCAAAGAGAGTCAACTCTCGGAGCGCACGAGTTCTCCCAGAATTTTCCCTTGTGTAAGCAGGCGTGATGGAGGATGTCTGAAAAAGATATTGAGATGAATATGAAGCTACCAAGTGGCGACTCGTAGATTTTTTCAAGGCGGAGCATCTTCGATTTCGAACTTGCTGTAAGTACTTAACTTCGCGTTCTCAACGATTGCGTCAACAAATTGTATTCCATTCATTGTAGCCAAGTCGTAGTCAAATGAATGCGATGCTGACAAAGACATCGAGATTAACTTACTCATATCTCAATGCATTGTAGCCAAGACATGGTCAAACAGTTGCGACGATGATACAGATACCCATCGGGTGTTCGAATGAAATGAGGTTCGGAGACAACCTTTATCTATCCCTTCATGAGGGGAGAAAATCGGACTTCATGATGGAACAAGGCACAGTTTGCTCTGCCGTCGCAGTGTTTCACGAATAAACAAAGTTTTGTTGGTGGTTGTGTTGTTGTGTGGAAAACAATCAACGTGACATGGCCCTAGAGCGAACATGGTAAGCGTCAAGGGAAAAGGCGAATAGAGCGCCGCACAATATCCTTTTATCTTGTTGGCTCGCACGTTTTTAACGACATCTGTTGACCGCAGCAGAGACAATGCTCGGCAATGCCCACCATGGCCACTTGGTCACAGCCACCTTACTGTTCAGAGAAGACATGCTTTACGAGCTGCATACGAGATCCTGCCACCTTGCCCTTCTTCGTAGAGTGCTACCGTGTTAGGTATTCAAAAAGAGGCTTCCACCCAACCAGTGGTGTCGAATGGGGGGTAACAGCTCAGGACTACTCAGCAATACTCTTCATCACTGAAGAGGCAAAGCTGACCAACATGTACCACCATGTCACCAAGCGAAGAGCTGACTTTGCTGACGTTGTGTGGCCCTCGTCAACTGTGGCTCGTACTGCTGACGATTACAGCGGCGGGCCCACCGCAAATACGGCCTGATGAGCCGATCCAACACTCAAAATGCTAACCCATAGTCCTGCTTAATTTCTTATGTTGTATCAATATAATAGCATTTACTTTCTTCTGTCTTTCAGTTCAGTTCTATCCAATAACCTATTTCATCCCTCCGAGCCTCTCTGAGCCGTTTCCTTTCCTCCCTCACTGACCAAACTACACTCGTTTGCGCTCTGGGTTATCTCAGTCGCTTTCACTCCTTTACTTCCTCTTCTCATACTAATTTGCTTCAGTATGCGCTCTTCAGCAATACTCGTTGCGGCTTTGGTGGGAGTTGCTTCGGCTGGCATGCCCAAATGGCCTCTTCAGTGGTCGAAAACCGCCAGCGGTGGCTACGGAGGAGGTGTAGGTTCTACAGGCAAACCGCATCTTGGTCCTGGGCCTGTCTCCGAGATACCTCATACGGGAGGTAGCTCCCCAACTACTTATCCGAAAGATCATCATCCAAAGAAGGAACATCACAATTCGGGTGGCATGTTCCCATCAGGAGGTAACTTCCCAACTAGTTATCCGAAAGATCATCATCCAAAGAAGGAACATCACAAATCGGGTGGCATGTTCCCGTCAGGCGGCCCGACGCAACACCGTCCTGAGAAGCACCACCATAAGCCTACAGACAGCGGCGTTGGGCCAACTGGCCCGCCTCTGACATCGGGTACTCTCACCACGACGATTACCAAGACTTCGAACGTGACTAGTAAGACATTCATCGGTCAAGTCCTATTGACTAGGACTAACATCCACAACAGGCACAATGACTTCCACACTCTACGACACTACCACCCTGACTTCTACAATCACTAAATACGTGCCCTGCTCGAGCCCAATCGCCACAGTCGGAACATCCACCTATTACTCGACCTCTTTGACAACAACCTACTCCACTACTACCATCACTCGGACTAGTACTACATACGAAGTCATCTGTCCGTCCACCACCGGTCCAGGCGTCGGCGGACCCGCACCTACAGGTAGCGCAGGCTCTGGACCCACCAGCACTCCCATTGGCGGTGAATCCGGCTCCGGCTCGGGCTCAGGTTCTGGCAGTGGCTCTGGCAGTGGCTCGGGCTCGGGCTCGGGTTCAGGCACGGCATACGGCGCAATGCCCAGCCTGGGCGGCAGTGGATCAAAAGGTTATCCCGGCGTTCCAGGCGGCCCGTCGTACGGCTGCCCGGCAGTCCAGACCGTCACCTCAACAGTCCAAGTCACCGTCACCGTCACCTCCACTGCTGGCGCAGGAGAAGCAGGAGGATTCGTACCTCAATCCACCAGCGGCTCTGGATCTGGCGCTCCTCCTCCACCACCACCAAACGGCCCCTTCTCGACGCAATCTGGCGCAGCTCCTTTCCCATTTCCCGGCGGACCTGGCTCGGTGAACCCATTCCCCAGCGGCACGGGCGCTCCAAGCACACACCTACCACCAAAGGGCGCAGGAATTCCTAGCGGGGGGTATGCCAAGAAAACGGGGTGGGCGAAGATGAACCCATTTCCCAGCGGCATGGGCGCTCCAAGCGCACACCTACCACCAAAGGGGGCAGGAATTCCTAGCGGGGGGTATGCCAAGAAAACGGGGTGGGCGAAGATGGGTGGCTATTGATGATCAAAGCATTGGGGAATCATGTGCATAAAGCTGGCGTTTCAATGGAGCCTTTCTATACCGCTTTCGAGCGATGATGCGTTCCGAATCTAATTCTATAGAAGCGAGAGGGTGAGATTATTTGGGGAGAAGGAAGGCTTGTCGGTTTTGATATATCCAATTCACACTCAACGATCTCGCACAAATCTCATCCTCCGTCGTCCCTGTCTGTGTATGTACGTTATTTCAATTCCTCTCAAAAAAACGATCTCGGCCGTGTCTATCTCCCAACCAACCAACGAACCAATCCATCAATCCACCAACTATTCACACCATCGACGGAATCCCCCCTTCCCTTGCCGCCCGCAGATCTCATCCACTCCCTCACTCGCTCCTGCGAGGCAAGGCAAAGCATCAACGCCCCATCACACGTGACCGAATCAACTCAGGCCTGCCCGAAACATCTCTGCCTCGACGATTGATTGAAATTAAATCTTGTAACAACGACATTACGAGTCGGGTCATTTTCCAGATTTGGATGTTGCACGGGGTTTTTTTTCGTAAGATTACCTGTTGTTGTTGTTGGATGTTGGAATTCGTCCGGTACAACATATACGTATGTATGTATATAACCGAGAAAAAAACGGACAAGTAAACTAAGCCGTTGTGAGCGGGGAGATTGGACCGCTCGGGGGGGGGTGGGATGATGAGATTGCGAATCACTGCACAATCTAACCCATATTGCCTCAACGGAGAGGCGTGGATACATGCTCTTACCGATTACGGGGCAGGCGCCTGGCTGGAGTAGGTGTAGAACCAGACGTCCCAATTAGAATTGCCTGGAGGAACGGCATCGTTGGGATGAGTTTCCACAGAGCTTCTGTTGTCCTGACGATGATGGACGGGGTGCTCGTGCCCTGCTGGTGTATGACGGACGCATTGATGGATTCGTGCCACCATTTTGATTATTTTCATCAAGGGAGGAGGAGGCTATGAGTGCCAAAGTGCGAGACGTCACGCCTAAGGTAGGTACTGATAAGGTGACTTCGAAGCTTGCATCGCGTTGTTAGCTACTATGTGATTATTCCGACATGCTTTGGACTGGAAATGCGTCTTTGATGTTTCCTTCCAGGGAATCAAAGAACGACGACGCCTGTTGACAACCAGAAAACCCACAGCGTCTAAGAAACCTAGCCGGCGTCTTCTATCTGGGTACGAGAACGCAAATGATCTCTCTTAGAGGAGATGTTCAAATCATCGTCTAATCGAATAAAATTAGTCTCTTAACGTAGATGCTCACATACCTCTTTTCAACCATCAGAGCCACTTCCACATCGACCTCAGCTTTTCGTCGGTCCCCTAGCTTGTCTTCTTCTCTCAAGCTTTGCATTGGATGCAAGCTCCTGCTTGCGTGGTGCATCGTCTGGTCCAACATCCATTAACCGTTGATGCTTGAATCCAAGCAGAGGCCGGTTAGCCTCTTTCTCAACAGCCTGTCCCAGCTCCATGCACAAAGGCCCATGACCTTTGACGCCCGCAGTCAGCAAACTGGTCCATGTGCACTGACAATTCACACATTTACAGGCGAAAATGAAGGTTACCACACGTGTGTCATCTCGTGTAATAACACGACCAGGAAGTGTTGAATTATGAGCTCGGTCGAGGTCGTGTTACTGTCCGGTCTTACTACGACTATGAGCGTGTGGCCCTTTCGGTCGGGATCCACATCTGTCTTGCCGTAATGGCGAGACTGGGATGGCCGATCGATCAAACTGACAGTCATCCAGCATCGCAGCGCGCCACCAAAAAAGTGATCGTCGAATAGCTGAAGAAAGAAGTCCAGATCGAGGTCCTTGGCATCCAGCGTCACTTGCATCGTGTGAACCCACTGGCGCCAGCGCTCTGGAGCTTCCGTCTGTATCGTTGCGTATCCTCTCTGACAGGCTTGTTCTTTCCGGGTAAAGAATTCCATGAAACCACCCACTAAGCTCTGGCATGTGTACGAGCTATGCTGGAGGCGTTGTTCAGAGTCTTGTGTGACGCGAATGTCCTTGAAGTCGTGGTGTCTGCTCTGCATAAACAGCAGAGGGTCTCGTGCTGCCTTACAGCACCACTTGCACTTTCCACATGCTGTGAGTGCTGTTTTTCGAATGATAATGTGAGGTGCAGTCGAGCATCCAAATCGACCATGGGCGGGCAAGAGAGTGTTGAATTCCGAACAAAGACATTGTGTTAACTACAGTGAGGATACTTCACAGCCTTGAAGACGGCTTTGAGTCTCATTGAGATAACAACCCGTAGACGAGAACAAAGAAGCATAATCGCAAGCCTGGGCAGGAGATGAAGCTCGACCAGCGAAAGGGAAATGGATTGGCAAAACTTTTGTGAAGTGTAAATGTCAAACATATCGTAATCTTGTATCCAAAAAAAATCATCTATTGAGCATTGTTAGCTCACATGCCAGAAGGCTGGTAATAGAACCCTTGCGACTCGGTTGAGGACTATACCAAGCTCTAACCTCCCAATCCCAGTCCTCTCATAAATCTGGCCTCGTCGGCCTGCCTCTCCAATGCTCTTCTCATCATCTTCCCATAATCCCTCTCATCAACACTCTCCCCATCAGAACTTCCGTCCGGAGTGCAAGTCCCGTCTTTATCCACGCCGAAAGAAAACCTCGGCTTGTCCTTGAAGCCCAGTATCCCGACCTTGTCTCCGGTCCACACGCACACCTCGCTCCTCGCTCCAGTGCCGACAGGAAGCAGTTTCCGCGCTACGTCGCCTTCGTTGGGATCGGCATTGAAGATGCCGCCTCGTGCGCTCACGGAATCACTGAAGAATTTGTTCACCGCATTGATGTTCCACCTGCGGACTAGAGTTGACCCGTCGCGCTCAACCCACTTGAGCTGGCCATCGCTGTCGGAGAATAGGAGACGAGCACCGTGAGGTGTGAGACTGAGGAGTTTGCTGCGGGAGGCTGAGGTACGATTTCGTGCCGGTTCAAGGCTCTTATCACTCGGTGAGACAATGGATGCAGAGTCAAGAGGATAGAGTTCCAGAGAGCCTTTCCCGTTATATTCGCCTGCTGCTGCCAAAGTGGGGTGGTTGGGGGTAGGCAACGAGGCTATAGAGCAGAGGCGAGCACCCGAATGGATGGCGGAGGTCAAGTTTGGGAAGTAACGGCGATCGTAGTTTAGAATGCTTGGAAAGCGGCCAGCGACGTAAATTGCGGAGGACGGGTTGATGTGCAGGATTGAAAGGGGGGAGGGATGGAAGAGGGTTGCGTAGTCAGTCTGCGGAGGGTCGCCAGAGCTTAGGCGGTGGAAGTCGGTTGTGCTGTATCGAAGGTCCCGGGATACATTCGAGTTAGTGTCGACACGATCACTGATCCACGAGCTTGGACGGCCTCCATTGTTGCTCAAACGCGAGTCATGGAGGTGGAGAGAGAGGCTCGTGCCGACAGTCAACGGTATGGGATGAGCGGCTTCTGAAAGGGCAGTGATAGAGAAAGGATAGCGGTCGTAGGAGGAGATTTGGAGGGTCGTTAGATCGACCTCGTTCAGCCCAGATTGGACGGCAAAGTATGCTTTATTGCGGGCTCTGTCAACGCTCACGCATTCGACGACACCAGTGCTTGTCATTTTGGCTCTTGACATTGTCGGGTCCTGCGATGTGCTGCCATCAGGTCCATTGACTGAGAGTAAACCAGGTTTGCTGCGTGCCATGATCCGGCCAATTCGGGAATCAGGAGGTGCATCCTCGCGACCAATATTCCAAACGCATACACTTCCGTCATCTAATGGGGAAACCACCATACTATCGTCGTGATCTTTGAATATGCCCAAGCCCCTCGTCTCCAACTTCTCTCTCAACCCGTGCTGCTCGCTGAAGGGTTGCTCCAGCCAGCTCATAGACAACGGTGCGTGTCTAGCTATGTATTCACCATACCAATCGACCTCCTCATCCGGATACGTAGGGTCCCAACTAGCCATGCCTCGCGCCGTAGCTGCCTCCGCTTTCTGGGAGGCATTGCTGTTGCCTGAACGAGCGACGGCTCTCTGCAACTCGAAGACTCGAGGTTCTTGAATGGGAATCGGTGGGCCGTAGAGGAAATCTCGACGTCGGCGACCAGCAATTGAGGAAGAGTCGTCTAAGCAAAACCTCTTCCATAGCTCGTTATCTCGAGTAATCTTAAAGAGGTGCTTTGACACTAGGTGGAGGGGGATGATGTCGCGTGCTTCGAGGACTGTCGTCCGTTAGCTACAGGTATGCTTGCCAGAAAAGATGTTCGTACAAGAAGCAATGTGGAGAAGCAGCTCCGCAGGAAGCCTCTCCATACTCACAGTTGATCAGAGAAACTCGATAGAAGAATAGGGATTCGCAGCGTGGACTCGATGCTGACAGCTGAGACGAGATGCCTCGGCCCGTCCGCCCCGCTCTCGAATCTATTGATTGTAGGGATACAGTAGAATAAACATTCGACAATGGCTTCATGACTTGACTGTTACTGCTTCCGATTTGAATTATCCCTTTGTTCATGTTCATACCATTGTGACACTCACTATTTCAAAATGCGTGCAATCCAAGTCAAAGAATACCTCAAGGTGTGCTCTCGCATCTATCGTCACAACCGCCATTGTTATTCACTCCTCCACCACGATTACTCTTCGTTAACCCTACTCCCAGGGCCCTCAAGACCTCACCGTGTCCTCCCTCCCCAACCCCACACCATCCGCAGACCAATACCTAATCGCCATCCACGCAACCGCAACCAATTTCTTCGACCTCCTCCAAATCCGAGGTAAATACCAACACCAACCCCCATTTCCATGGATCTCAGGTAGCGAATTTTCCGGTGTCGTCCTCTCCGTCCCTTCCTCGAATCCATCCCCAGCTTTCAAAAAAGGAGACAGAGTCTTCGGTGCCGCACAAGGCGGATATTCCACACATGTCTGCGCAGCGGAGACGGCACTGAGGCCTGTGCCAAAGGGATGGGGGTTCGTCGACGCGGCAGGCCTGATGGTGACGGCGCCGACGAGTTACGGTGCCCTGGTCACAAGAGCTGGCGTGAAGAAGGGTGACTACGTCCTCATACACGCAGCGGCCGGTGGAGTAGGCCTAGCGGCTGTTCAAGTAGCCAAAGCATTCGGAGCGACAGTGATAGCGACAGCGGGTTCGGCGCGGAAATTAGAAGTCGCGAAGGGGTTCGGGGCAGATTATGCAATTGATTATAATACGAAGGGGTGGGAGGAGGAGGTTAAGAAATTGACGCCGAGGGGGAGAGGTGTGGACATCGTTTATGATCCTGTGGGGATGGTCAACACGAGCTTGAAGTGTACGGCTTGGAATGGGCGGATCTTGGTCATTGGGTTTGCGGCAGGGGATATTGAGAAGGTAGCTATGAATAGGGTGTTGTTGAAGAATGTCAGTTTGGTGGGGCTGCACTGGGGGATGTATACGAGGGAAGAACCAGAGACAGTTGAGGAGGTTTGGAGAGGCCTGTTTCGCTTGATGGATGAGGGTAAATTCAGGGGAACCGTATATTCGGATCGGATATTTTCTGGGCTGGAGAGTGTAGGTGAGGCGTTAGGGATGCTTGGACGAAGAGAGACCTGGGGGAAGGTCGTCGTCTCTGTACCTCAAGATGGGCAGAGTAAGCTGTAGGGATTCAATATTTCCGTAATGCTGAGACTGGAGATCTGAATTCTGGGTTGCACACGGCTTCCTTCTGTCCCATAACGTTGAAGTATGGATATCGCCGACAATCGACATATTTATATGATGATCCGAACGACCGTTCCTTCAGACCTCCTCTCGAAAATACGCAGAGCGTCAACTAGAGACTCTGCTTTCCCCTGGTCTCAATTGGGAAGCAACACATGGCGATGAAAGCAACAAGAATCAACGACCCGGACGCATAAATGGGTGCATTCGGATTCACTTTCCCAGCGTGGACTGCGACAATGGGCGCACATAGACCCGTGAGCCGGTTGAAGAAAGATGCGATTCCAGTCCCTGTGCCTCGATTGGGGGCCGGAAAGACCTCGGGCGTATAAGCATACAGCACGCCGTACATTATGTCTATCTCAAAGTTAGTATTCTTATCACCTTCACTGTGAATGTGGTAGTCGGAGAATGATGAAACGTACTTTGGAAAAAGGCTTCAAGACTGCTGAAGGTAAGCTGGTAATTCGAATCATCACTGATTGTGAAGCAAAACAGGAGGATTCCGGTGATCAGCGTGGCGATTGCAATGGTGTACTTGCGGCCGATATATTTGACGTCGACCGTGTAGGCCGCAATTATCGACCCTGGGACACCAACGATCGAGGTGATAGCGTAGTTGCGGTATACAATGCTGTTCGGCGTAGGTGCTGTATTCGCTTTCCCAGTGTTCTGGAAATACTGTGGGAGAAAGGCATTGAAAAGAGGGTATCCCATTCCAATCGTTGCCCAGCAAATCCAGATGAGGCATGCTGCAATTTCACATTAGCCATATCTTCTTCAGGCTAGGGGTGCAAGACCAGGCAAACGATCCGTATAAATTGGACTAGTACGTACTCATGACTCCCAGACGCCTGGTTGCGAAAAGAGGCGCGATCCTGTCTTTCGAGAATTTGCCGAGAGTTCGCTTCACGATATCTGCACGGGAGAGCTTGGTATTGTCAAGCACTGCTGGATCACCGCCAATGGCATTCAGGACTTCGACCGATAGCCAAGTCTTACGCTTGTTCTTATAGGCTATTTTTTTTAGCCCAGATCTACGGTAAGGTGGATGAATGTGTCTGACCTATCCCATGAACCGTTGCAACTGCCTCAGCCTGACGACCCTGCGCAAGGAGGTATTTGGGCGATTCGAAGAGATGAAAGAAGAAGAATCGAACCATAAACATCGAAAAGATGATAGCCCCGACCGTGATGTTGAGATATCTCCAGCCCCAGTTGTTAGCTTTGGAGCAACATGGCGGAGCCGAGACGTCACAAGAGTTGAGGTCCGGACTACACGTATAATTTGAGAGGAACCCCCAGGCGATGAGTGAGCCAAGCAGTTGGCCAAGTGGCCACCACACAGACAAGAGAGTCAGTAAGCTCTGGGACGCGCTTGGCAGAAATTCCAGAAAGAGTGCCTAGTAGAAGATCAGCACTATCACCAAATCGTCGACAGAAATTGGGCGTACTCCGTCGACAGGCAGATTCCCACCAACCCCAAATCCCAGTGCCGCATAGAGTCCGCAGGTGCCGACCCAGCTTGGACCGCCACCGACTGCAAGGCCAAATACACCAGCGAGAAACAGGGTCGTGTTGAACGCTAAGCGTCGACCCAGGAGGTCCGCCCCAATGCCCCAAAAAGAAGCCCCTAGGCATAGTCCTACAAATGTGGCGCAGGTGGTGTATCGGACGTTGTTGGAGCTCACGCCAAACTCAGATGTCAATGATGGTAAAGTAAGTGCAACTACCTACCTGATGAGTTAATTCGCAGTCTCAAGGCTATTCTGGTGCTCGGAGCGTACCTGAAGCACCAGGCTATGTACGCGTGTGGTCAGTTTACGTCTCAGACCCTCAATCTTCGGCGGGATCTGAACTTACTTGTCTGCTAACCATCCAAACCCGCAGAGGACGAACAGTTGCCATTGATATGGTCCCATTCCGATATCCATGATGGCCTTGTTAATGACCTTTGACTTTCCTGTTGCCTGTCAGATTCCATGCAACTGTGCTTAAGGGCTCCTCTAAAGGCCCATCAAGGTGGCGCAGCAGAGTTCGGGGCATAGCAAAGAGGAGCACGTCACGTACGATCATAGGCGGTATCATGGCCGGAAGCCGCAATATCTATGGGCTCAGATTACCAGCTGTCTGCATAATGTAGAATGCCCATTTCCCCAGCGTACCCAGGTCTACTTCTGCCCGAAGACCCTCCACGGTATTTGCACTGTATTTACCGCCAACGCTGGCTTCACCCTCCTTATCATTTACAGGGCTATCCGAGGAAATGCCCAGCTTTTCGTTGTGGTCTGCAACCACAGAGGGGTATCGCGTTGCGTGTGCCAATGGTACAAAAACATCAGGGAAATCGCGGACATGATGCTTCTGAAACGGGTTCATAAAAACAGGCATTTCGGCGACGTCGCAACCCAGTTGACCGGATGGACTGCTGTACAAATTCTGGTTTTCAGAGATATGCTTCGATTCGATCTTGGCCTCAGAAGATGCAGTATCGTCCAAAGCACGGGTTTATAGGTTTTGGGAATGTGTGGTTGCAGTCGTTTTCTTGTTCACGAATAGAGCATGACACAACTGAATTGGCGTTTCTCGAGCTGCATTGGATGCTAAATACACAAACGTCTGATTTCTGCTGTAGGCAAAGTGAATCCGAGTACAATAATGCTGGGTATGCGCGAAACACGTACAACGAGTACTGCTGAAGATAATGGAGTGAGCCATTTATGAGAAAGACGACTTGCATTAGTAGGGCTGACACATGTCTCGAGGGTCGCTTCTCACGGGCTCAACATTAATTGCGCAGTTTGATTCGATAGAGGGGCTTGGGCTTGACAAAACCCCACGTCTCGAAAAGCCGTTGGAGTATTCAGACCCTTACTAAGGATTTCTTCTCGCTAAACCATGAGTGGGAAGGTGAGACCAAAGACGTGCATCATATCCCGCTCAAAGCTCCACCACTCATTGCCAAGACTCCAGGTGCATCAGGTGATCTCGGAACGGTCAGCGCGCGGTTGTCGAAAGGGCATGCTGGTGCGAATGAAGTCGTTGCGGTTATCTTTTGACTACTGCACGACCTTCACATCCACCGATAACGTTGAAGCAAGTTTGAGACCAGGTCTAAGGACAGCGTTGAGAAAGCAGCATCATCAATTGCTGGTCGAAGAGTGGCAGGGAACCATTCAATAGACTGCCGGCTGTGCTTTGAGAGCATCCATGATAGAATTGTCCTGTATACTGCCTCATCCTGCCCTCGAGTCGCCTTGGCGGAGTACACGCAAAGGAATGTATCCATACGAGGCCAGCGTTATCCCTTGCTGGCACTCCGTTGGATACACGGGGCTGCAAGGAAGCCTAATATATGTCCAGTGATGCGCAAGTGAGACATGAAAGACGCCCAATACACAACCAAAGAGAAATGTGCGCAAATGTGCGCAATGCGAGCCAGCCGCATGGGAACATTTATCTCTGTGATTGATTGATAGTGCTTAGTCAGTAGACTCAGCCCTGTCAATTGGAGATCGACAGCCGGCTCTTAACGGTCTGAGGCAGTGATGAACTGATGATGTCTTCGTACTCGCCTGCCTTCCTAATCATTGAATCGTCATCTTAGCGTTTTGTCTGAAAGGCAAACGTTATATGAATGGCTACCTGCATTGAGGCAAACATTCTCTAAACGAAAGCAGACATATTCGAAACACTCTTAGATTCATCACCGTTCAGATAAGAAATCCGAGCGGAAAAGAAAACGCAGTTGTCGCATCGAACACACCACACTGTCAACACCTGCTACAAATTACGATGAAGTTCTTACCAATAACAGCGGCGACTCTGGCAGGAGTCTCGATTGCCTTATCATTCTCAATACGATCTACGCCCCACTCCCAAGGAGCTGTCTCACGCCGTGAGCCAGACCCAGAACTGCTCCCTGCGCCACTGAATGAACGCTTCGACAAAGTCCTTCCAAACTATCTTGAAAAGAGAAGAGGTGGTGGGGGGTCGAGTGGTGGCGGACATTCATCATCATCAGGCTCGTCGGGTTCGTCCTCAGGGAGCTCTGGTAGCTCCTCTGGGTCATCAGGAGGAGCCAAATCTGGGAGCAGTGGTAGCAGTGGTAGCGCGGGTGGCTCTCGTGGGACCACCAGGTGAGTGGAGTGGGTTCGCAATGTCAGATAGAACACATTAGTACTGATACTACTACAGCTCTTCCTCCTCAGTGAGTCCCTCGTACGGTGGCGGCAGGTACTATGCTGGCGGTGCCACATCATCGTACAGGTCTGGAGGAAGATCACCAGGCGGTATCCTACCCTTCGCTTTGGCCGGAGCAGCGCTCGGATTCTTCCCTGGTCTCTGGCTCTACGGAGCATATGAATACCCCTACAACCATGACTACAATTTCCACAACCGCACCAACTCTTCGGAGCCCCAAGGTCAGAACGAGACCCTTCCTGTTACTTGCTTGTGCCAGATGTACAGCGCCTGCGGATGTGACAATAACTCAAACACGACCTATTTGGATTCGCTCGTGGGAAACGGGAGCGCTGCGGATGAAAACAGCACACTGATTCACGTTGGGAATGTAAATGGCACCAAAACACTGATCATCAATGGAACTCTTCCGAACGGCACGAACGGCACGGATGACACCAGTTCGTCTTCCACAACCAGTGGTGCTGCAAGGCGAAATCTGCTTGAGTACTCGGGTTTCTGGCTCGTTGGTGTTATTGTGGGAGCTACTGTCTGGCTGCTATGAGGAGGTTAGGCGAAGAAGAGACGCTCTCTAAAGGGCCGGGCTTGAGATGCCTCACGAGGCTGGAGTTGAGAATTATTTGCACAATCATGGATGATTCTGACGACTAGTATAAGGCGCTGGAGGCTTTTGTCCTTAAGGTACCTGATCAAAGTCCTAGGAGCCTTGGTAACAGATTGCCTTGATATATTCTGTCGTGAAAGTATTGAATAGTCGCACAAATCTATGATTGGAGAGATTCCGTGATTGAGACAGTACTGTTGACACCATGGACCTATCATATCGCTTGAAAATTCATGACATCGTGATTACGTGGAAGTATGGATATTGCCGGCCTCGCGAGAAACGGCCGTACTCTGAGTGGCAATTTTAGCAAGCCTATTCGTCTATATCGCCGCCAAGAGGAAACCGGCAAGCGTTTTCATCCATGCGAGCCATGCATTTGACCTCCTCTTCACATTTCTGCAGATTTGTCGCTGCCCGCTGCAACGGGCCTGTTTCGAGTCTGCCCTCTGCACTCCATGCCTTGGCGTAGCATCATGCACCATGCAGCCACCCACTCTCCTCCTGACCCCCCGTTTCTGCCGTTTCAGGATCTGTACGCTCGTTTCGCTTCGAGGCTAGCCAAAAATCGATGGATGGGAGAAAAGTCAGAAGGCGTGGACGCTACCGAATTATTGCTCCGCTCTTTTGAGCTACTTTTTTAGTCGGCTGGGAGATCAGCCTTTTTTCCACGCCATGACCTGCCCATCCTAGAGGCATTGAGCCGAGGCGAAAGGGTCCATCGTACTTTGTTGGTCTCACCGACCGACGACGGTGAGGCTGGTTCCACAGAGATGAATTGAGAGAGTATTGTGCTGTACATTACTCCGTACAGACCTAGACCTGTTCGAATGGCTGGGAAAGATGGAGAAGACTGGCCGGGCGTATCCTCCGGCAACACCACCACAAGTGTATAGCGCTGACGACTCGTATCCTGAAAATCCATCAAGCTTTGCCCGTCTCAGCATAGGGTAGATCTTCCAGCCCGGCACTAATCTTCAAAGACTTCTGTAGACTCTGTGATGGCCATGTAGCAAGGGTATAATATCCAATCAAATGTGAAAGCGAGAGCCAAAAGCGGGGGTGTCTGGCGATTGCCTGGGGCGAAATGGTGAAATGCACCACAGGGATGGTGAGCTCTCATAGCAGGCTACCTCCTAGGCAGTGTTCAGGGGCAACACCAGCGGTCCAGCAATCTTTTCTACCACCCTTTTTGCGCCCTTTCGAAAGGTTAGATATCCGAGATATGCTAAATTTGTCTTTTTACTTTGCTTCTTCTGGTTGGTGGAGAGTGAAGGTTTTTGGGGGTGGGCTTGCATTAATTGGGGGAGGTTGGGTGCTAAAATCCTTGGTCGTGGCAGGAATCTCCCAGTGCAACCAATCTCGACCCGTGGGAGACTAGCAGCTTTTTCCGTGCCGCCGATTTCATAGATAAACAGCTCACATTCCTCGCCTTTTTTCCTTTTCGATTCCTCCTAATCACATCACACTCATACCCAAAAGTCTTCTTCACATTTCACTCACTTTTCATCAACATCAAAACAATCACAGTCGCTTCGGATCTATCTACGATCAGTACAGTCGCTTTCAAGCAAATACTACTCGCATATCCTCCATACTCCAAACCTCAAAAATAATACCATCATCCCTCGCAATGCCTTCCATCCAGAAAATCGTCCTCGCTCTGGCCTTCGTTGCCACCACCTTTGCCGCTCAGATTGCCGACGGTCAGCTCCAGCAGCCCACGTCTGTAGTGACCCCAGCCGTCGTCAACCAGATCACCGACGGCCAGCTCCAACAGGCGACATCCACCCCTGTCGCCGTCGTCGCTCCCGCCATCAAGCAAATTAACGACGGTCAGCTCCAGCAAGCCACCTCTACCTCTACCCCTGTTGCCGTGATCACTCCCGCCATCAAGCAAATCACCGACGGTCAGCTCCAGCAAGCCACCTCTACCTCCGTTGCCGTTGTCACTCCCGCCGTCAAGCAAATCACCGATGGTCAACTCCAGCAAGTCGCCTCGGCCAGCGTGTCCCCAAGCGCTACCGCCAACGGTACCCTCACCACACCATCTGCTCCAGCTGCTACTTTCCACGGTGCTGCTTCTCTCATGAGCTACAGCATGGAGCTAGTGACCGTCGCCATCGGTGCCGCTGCCGTCTTGGCCATGCTGTAAGAAATTCCTTCGGTCAGCACAGTCATCAGCAGCAACAGTCAAGATCACGGCGTGGGGAAGTGAGGGGATGGATGTGGAAAGCGTTCCGATTTTCTTTCTTGATGCATATCGGTTGGAAAAGAAGTTACGATTAATGGGGAGGCGAGGCATTCGATTCATGTAATTAGGCATCACAGGAGCATTATTGGCATGGCAGTCCTTCAACAATAATTCGCGCCCGAAAATCCTCGGCATGACTACTGCGCACATCCAGCATTGAGCATAGGATAGATTAATAAGATCAAGTACCAACTCTCGTTTCCACTCCCTCTTTCCACCTGCATGATTCGAGTCCGTACCTTGTCCCTCATTCCGTCTGCATCACTCGATCGAGCTCCTCATTCCATCTCCACTGTTCGAGCTTTTCCGTTAGTGTTTCGTAGGATCCTTCAACCGTACTTCATCCCTCCCATTCTCCGAATCTCCAAGATCCGTCCAACGCTCGCCGTCTCCACCGTCGCTTCATCTCCATCACCCTCGGAACCGATTTCCCACTTCCAAGAGCTCGACGACCACGCCGGTGACCTCCGATAGCGCCTGGTGGACCCCACATTTAGCCATTACGCGATGGAAAATCCACTGGCCGTGCTAGTAGTCAATAGCCAGCGCGAAATGGCTCGCACCGCAAACCCAATGCCGTCCTCCATCGATCCCTCCTCCTCCACAGTGGCTCAGAGTCGGCGTCTGTGGGAACAGGACTGGCAAGAGCTCGGATGAACGAGGACGGTCGGCGAGAGTCTATGGGCCCACTGCGAGATGGAGAAGAGTTATTGGATGAAGGAGTTTTTGCAAACAGACGCAATGGCCACTCCGGAGCCACAGATCGAGGGCCTGTCTCTGATGAAGAGAAGGCGTGCTTGAATCACGTTGCCTCCCATCACCCATCGTCGAGTGGCAACCTTCTAGAGGAGAAGATTGAAAGTCTACGCAATGTAGATGCTCTCCAGCACCCCTCAGCCAAAAGCACGACGGACGATACGGCCGCTCACGACAAGAGCAATGAATCCAGCCAAACATCACCGGAGCAGCTCAATTCGATCCCGGGGAACGACAGCTCAGCCGTCAATGTCTACGACAATCCCCCTCCGAGCGCCACCGACGGGCCCACACCCAACGACAAGACCGGGCCACCAGACCAGACCGAAGTCCACCCCTTTCCCGAAGGCGGTCTGCGTGCCTGGCTCGTCGTCCTCGGCTCCTTCAGCGGCATGACGGCCGGTTTCGGGATCCTCAACAGCGCGGGGACTTTCCAGGCGTACCTCAGCACGCACCAGTTGGCCCACGAGTCCCCCAGTGCCGTCGGCTGGATCTTCAGCCTCTACGCTTTCCTCACCTTCTTCTGCGGTGTGCAGATCGGGCCCGTCTTTGACGCCCACGGGCCCCGGTGGTTGGTGTTTGCGGGCACCGTGTTCTTGGTGGGCGGGATGATGGGGGTGGCTGAGAGTAGCAGTGAGTGCTGCTTGCTCCCGTCTTCATTCAATAGCTGTCTTCCGGCTCTGCTTCCAGGCTACCTTCGCTGACTTCCTTCCCCCTTTTAGAACTCTGGCACTTCATCTTGACATACTCCATCCTCTGCGGTGTGGGCTCCTCCCTCATCTTCACCCCAGCGATCGGCTCCATAGCACACTTCTTCCACAGACGCCGCGCCGCTACTACAGGTCTCGCTACCACCGGCGGTAGTGTGGGTGGCATCATCTTTCCTTTGATGCTCCAGCGTCTCTTCCCCGAAGTCGGCTTCCGGTGGGCGACGCGGGTCCTCGCATTCCTCTTCCTCTTCCTCCTCTGCATCGCCAACCTGCTCATACGCGGCCGTCTGCAACCGTCGAAAGACAGTCACGTCGTTCAGAACATCTGGCCCGATTGGCGGATCTTCAAGAACCGAGTCTTCGTGTTGACGACCGCAGGGGTCTTCTTCATCGAGTGGGCTCTCTTCATCCCGCTTTCCTACATCTCCTCGTACGCTCTCGCCGGGGGCGTTTCGCCTACTTTCAGCTATCAACTGCTCGCCATCCTGAACGCGGGGTCCTTCTTCGGTCGTTGGGCGCCAGGCTACATGGCTGACTTGTTCGGGCGGTTCAACACGATGATCATCACCGTGGCTCTATGTCTCATCTCCGTCCTCGCCGTGTGGCTCACCGGCTCACCGGGGGATGGCAGCAGAGGCATCGCTCAGCTGATCATCTTTTGTGTCCTCTTCGGCTTCGCCTCGGGAAGCAACATCAGTCTGACACCAGTGTGTGTAGGGCAGCTGTGCGGGACCGAAGTGTTTGGAAGATGGTACGCGAGTTTGTACACCGTGGTGAGCTTCGGCTGCTTGACCGGTATACCGATCGCGGGGCAGCTTCTGGCTACGGAGGGCGGGAAGTACACTGGCTTGATCGGGTTTGTGGGAGCTTGTTATGGAGGGGGGCTGATATGCTTCATCTGGGCTAGGGTTTTGAAGGTGGGTTGGAGTCTGAGAAAGATCTACTAGAGAGATGAATCGAGGTTACCGCGCACGTGCAAAGTGGCAACGGTAAAGCATGATCGTTAGTTGGCTTATGGTTTATTGACGCGTTTATAAAAGTTAACGGTCTTTATCCTACCGTCTCAATTCAACCACCTCTTCTCCTCAACTTCTCCGTCTTCCATCTTCCCACTACGGAAAAGCTCTGTCCCTTTGCCAAAGGTGCACGCCAAGCCAGTACTCCCCATCCGGCACCGCATTTCGCCTGATCACCTCCATCCTCCGTTCCGAAGAGCGACAGACACCTTAGCTCCCCTTGACTCAACTCACTCACCCACTACACACTCTCGACCAGACTTCCCCCCTCCCATATGCCCGACATATCCATCTCGGAAAATGTCCAACCGTCCTTCCGAGCCTGATCGGCTGTCTCTCTCTTCCGAAAGACATCCACTCATCCACCCATCCACCCATCCATGCCCCCTGTTGACGATGTCTCGGTCGCCGCCTTTGGGGGAAGGGGGTGTTCGAGTGGACGATGACTCCGCCCGTTCTTCTCCATAAGAAGCGGTATACATACCATTCTGACCTCCTCCGAGGCCTCTCTCTCTCTACACCTGACCATTCCTGCAAGCCACCCCTCCCTCAACCCTCCCACCCAACCTCCGATCGCACCCTCCCTCCACCCCTCACTCAACCCTCCACCCAACCTCGATCGCACCCCCAAGCCTGACAAATGACTCCCCCTCCCCCCCCTCCCTCCCTCCCCCCCCCCCCTCCCTCCCCCCTTCCCTGCCTAACCCCTTCCCCTCCTCCCCGCCTCCCTCCCTCCCACCTCAAGCACCCGGATCCATACCCGAAGCTTCCAGCCCCGCCCCCCATCCACATCCACATCCACATCCAGCCACCACAAGCCGATGACGCGGGGATGAGCACCACACTCCGTCCGTTGTGCCCGCGGGTCCAAGGATCGATGTGGCGACGGAGGAGGAGGAGGAGGGCGGCGGGCAGGGGTTGAAGGTGAGGGTTTTGGGCCAAAGGGGGGCGCTGGAGCCGGAATTTGAGGTGGGGGGGGGATGTGGTTGGGTTGGGTTGGATTGTTTGTCTTTTTTTCTGCTGGGTTTGGATGGGGGGTGGGTGGGGGATAAGTAGGCGTGGGGTTGTTTTGTGTTTTACGAGAAGGAGGGATGGTTGGGGGAGAGGTGAGGGGGGTGGAAGGGGGGGCAAGGTTGTGCTTGTATGTGTGGGGAATAGGATATCGAGTCTATGAGTTTAGAAAAAAAACATGTTGCATCGGGATTCTCTGTGTTGGAAGGATCGCTTTCGGACATGGTTGTACGAGTACTTGCATCATGGACGCTGACTCGGCGGCGACTTGATGTATGAAATTCCATCACGCACCCGAATGGTCAATGATGTTACTTCCATGTTGATGTCTCAGTCTGTCAACTAGGTTCTTGTCCCGACTGCTCTATCATGAGCCCTTTTACTGACGGGCGATCGCTCAGACGGTCTCTTTCCCGTACCATGCTGAACGACTGTGACGATGACTCTAACAGGATGTAATCAAAGTTGACATTTCAAATCTCATCCTGGTAGGAATCTATGCGGTGAGGCAGCCCCCTCGGGAAGTGGACCACAGAGTTGCTCCGGCAAATTTTCGCAACGATGCTCCATGAGATGGCCCATTGCATGTTCCTCTTACTGAAATATCGCCATCCAGAGTAACAAGCTAATTCCCCAAGCCAAAGCGGACGGCGTCTCTGGACACGGGCCGGCAAGCGACATGGAAGTTGACCCCGGTGTACGGAACTTGGAGTTTGGATGCTTGATGATCGCGGCCGTTCAGATCGAGGGGATCGTTGACAGGGTCATGCATCACGAAATCACAAGATCCGAGGTGGGAGAGAGATCCGAGAAACCATTTTTCGCGTGGATTTATGAGAATTCTTCTTCGGATCGAGTCTCCGAGGATGTGGGGTCAGAGCTCCACTCTGCGTATGGGAACGACTCTGCGTATGGGAACGTCCTCTGTCTGTACCCATGTTTAGCACGATCTCATGTCAAGGGAGCGAATTCACGAACTCCATCGTCAACACCGACATCCTCAGCCGGTTTCCCCTCCCTCTCCCTCTCCCTCGCCCTCTCCCCTTCCTTCCACAGGCTCCCCAGGCTCGTCCAACCCATGTTATCATTCTTTTCCCGCTGCTTCATCCGTATCCTCAACGGTACCTCCGGCTTTCCAAGCTGGCAGTCCGCCATACCAGCTACAGGCACCCTTCCCTCCAAATCGTCCCCCATCGCACCCTTCAGGTCTAGAGTAAAGCCAGCATAGTAGTGCTGTCGTTGGATGTAGAGATGGTGATTCATAATAGAGCGCTCGATTATGAGATGGAATTCGCGCGGAGTGTATGAGGATGCCGTGGTCGGTTGGATACCCGAGGGAGGGTTTGGGAGGTCGGCAGAAGAGGCCTTGAGAGGAGTAGGATTGGGGGTGAAGGTCTTGGGAGGTTGCGAGAGAGACGGGCGTGTCGCTGCTTCGTCGGTGCTGGGGAATGAGCGCATAGCACCCCATCGAACCGTCCCACTCAAGCCTGTAAAGGTCGTTCCTCTACCTGAAGCGTCATTTGGCCGCTGCCGGGCGGTGTTGACTTCATCAAATTCTTCTTGGGCATGATTAGACTCTTCTTGGGGAGTTGGACCACTGTCCTCCTTTGCCTCGGCTGAAGGCGGTGTTGATGGCATGAATTGCGACACGGACGAGCTGAAGTCAGCCCTTCCCGATTCGAAGCGCAACGGACTAGCATTGATAATACTCTGCGCGGAATCCGTATTCTGATATACTGCGAAAGCGGTATTGGGGGCGGGGTGGTCGGGTTCATGCTGCCACCACTATTAGCCATGGAACTGTAATTTTCTTAGCATTAGACTCAACAGGTCAGCGCCATACAGCAACCTACCTTGAGATTCTTGTACATGACAACGTCGCCATACTGCTGGAGTACCCGCAGTACTCCTCTACTTTCAGCCAGATCCCGCGGCCTGGGGTAGATTTTCACATGGACAGCTCGGTCTATTGTTTTAGCATAAGATGGGGTCGAGTACGCTGTGAAATTAATTCTGGGTATTACCATGTTGTCAATGAGGCTCTCTGAACGAACATACGAGATAAACCAGCCCAGCTCTTTGGTGAGAGCTCTCCTGTCGCACTAGCGCTTCGGTTATACCTGCTCTTCGGCTGGGTCGGACATTTGTTGGGTTCTAGCACATACATTTCGGATTCAGTCATCTCTAAATTCGAAGTAAAGCTTCATCGGATCTTCACCATAACTCATTCTCAATGCCAAAGAAAAGGTACGCGAGGTCATGTCTCAAGAAACCCATCGCTCTTCACACGAGAATACACTGAGCAACATGACTTTCCAAACTTCCAAAATCCTCCAAGAGAAACTTCGTTCCAAGACCCCTGGCCACTCAAGATATATATACACGGAATGTAATTGCTCAGTATATGATCGGAACTTGCTGTTCATCTTTCACATCTCTTTCCCCCACTCTCCAGCATCTTCAAGCTCTTCCGCATCCTGATCTTCTTCTTCACCATATGCTTCCCAATCCCTTCCCTTGACGCACTGTGTCTCAAATCCTTCTCGATCTTATATGACTGTGAACGTCGTAGAGAATGCTGTGGTAATCGCGGATCGCAATTGGCGCTGGAGGAGGAGGAGGGTCTTGAAGCAGAAATGTTGAAGTAGGATGCCATGGGCGGAATCACTTCGGGGGAGAGCGATGGGGAAGTGGAGTCATCGAGCAGGGCGGCAGGATGGGTGGGTTCGTATAATGGCTGTCCGGTCTGCACCATTTCTTCAACGAGTGCCGATATGCGTGAGAGGTGGTCGGAGGAGCATTGAAGACGGTTGAGGCTCTGCCGTCGACGGCAGACTCGATCCGAGAAGCTGTTTGGCAAACGGTGGGGCGGGTTTAGCTCGCGCGCATGTGGTATTGATCCCTCTACGCATACGCTCGGCCGCCGTGGCGTGAGGGTGTGCTGGTCGAAATGCTGAGACAGTTCCGCGATGGTGGTAGCGATCGGATATCCTCGCTCGGGGGAGCCATGGCAGCCATTGTCATAAGAAGGCGTCGAGTCGCCAGAAGAATTGGGGGAGACACTGTCATCCATTGGATATGGATGGTAGAAGGCGTGCTGCCTGGAGGCGCATGCGAAGGAAAAGTCGTCAAACATGGTGCGAGGGTGTCCAGATCCAACGTGGTAGTGTATATGTATGGCGCCCGTTGGCGAGGCAGAGAGAACCAGCCCAGTGGTACGAAGTGTGCAGAAGGCCAGTGGTCTTAAACCCAATTCGCTAGAGAAGGATTCCCAGCGTCCCTATGACCACCGACCACAATAATGGTGGAAGTATAAAAGGGTCAATCACGTAGCTCCAGTTGCGACCGTGGAGACATGACAGGGCTGGTGGAAGGGCGCGGGAAAGGTCTAGAGAGTATGGGAAGAGAGATGCTGTGTTGTGTAGTTCTGTAGGATATTTGGAAGGAAATCATGGGCATGAATGCGGTTGGGACGAGGGAATCGCGGTTGAGAGTTTGGCCGTGTTTGGCGGGACACAATATTATCATTTTTCCCAGGCGTTCATGGAGAGTTAAGTTGAGAGGTTCCAGAAGCTGCAGCAGTAAAAGTAGCACAAGTTGGTAGCCAAGCGGCCCAGTGTGCCGGGAATTGGTCGACTTCTCTGGTTGGACGATGCTCTTCCCCTCCCGGTTCCGCGGATACTTACCCTTGCATCTTCTTCTTTCCACCCTTTTGCAGAGCGAGCAGAGCAAAAACACCGGAACAGGCCCTTCATAGTTCACGCTAAAAAAGTAGGTCGCGGTCGGCCGCGATCGCGACGAACTGCTTACTTACCTTAGTGCTGGCTGGTGGTTTTTGAGCCGCCGTGGACGTGGCCAATGGTATTTTGGCCGAGTCCGAGAAAGAAGGTCCAGATGGGTTTACGCTTTCGTGGATCGGCGGCGGGAATGGCCCGGGTGGAGAAGGATTTTCATGGAGATAATTTTAAATCATTCCAATAAATGAAATAAAAATGATTGACATTATTACTAGGCTCATTGGCAAGGGAAATAAAAATGATTGACAATATCAACTAGGCTCATCGACAAGGGAAAAAGGAAAAGAAAGGGAAAAGGAAACATACACCACCAGCACGATACCAGAGACCCGAGGGACAGGAAATACCTGCACCCGAAGTCGGAAGAGGTCACGGGAATCCTTTCGGAGATCTCATGGTATGACGGTAATACCGGTTTGCATAAAGTATCATTAATACCCTAGCGTGGCAGTCGCACCATCCCGTCCCGCCGCATTGACGATTATTACCGTGTCAGGGAGGCATAGCCAAGGACTTTAGTCATAAAAGTACAGTGAATCATGGAATGGTTGAACCTTTTTGTTGTTGTGGCTGTCGGTCAATAATCGTGCTTGTTCCGACACCACATGCAAAGTTTCCCACTTTCCCTTCATCCATAGCGCTTAATCATCCAGCCAAGATACCTAGCTCCAGCAATGTACATGTATGGTGTGTCAGAGGGTTAAGGTAGACGATAGGAGCTACCATACTTTAGCTTGCACCGCTGTGGAATCAATACGAGTGGCCAGATAATTCCAGAACCTGATCTCGACTTGGCGTCATGATTGGCACAGTATGGAAGGCTGGGCACGGAATGTAACAGGTGAGCGTATCACGAATAGGTACGACATACATATAGTAGGCACGGTAGCATCGATTGTAAAGTAGACCAGCTATGATCAACAATGCAACGCTCCGGTAGGAATACAACAGCAACCACCTCATCGCACAGGACCCGAAAGCTTATTCCTTCGCCGGATTTCACTCCACCTGCTCAGAGTACCTAGCTCCAACACACTCATCCGGCGCGTAGTACCGCTAGGGTTACCAATGATGACGGGCTTCCACTCATCCTCCGGACCGGACAAGATGTTCGTTCCGAACCTCTCCGATGGAATAATCTGAACCACCTTGAAGCGCGTGAGAATGGCAATCAGTAGTAACGTCAAAATCAGTAGCACGCCCGCCATCACCGTTGTCGCCGTCTGAGCCCCGAGATGCCTCTCAACAACCCCACCCCAAGCGGTAACACCGGCAGCAATGACAAAGGCAAACGTCTGCGCCACCGCGAACCCTGCTGTCACCCGAGGGAAGCAGGAGAAGTTGGTCCTCTTCTTCCTAGTCTCTTCCGGTAGCACACGGCGAGGCCTTCCCGTCATCCCTGGCTGCAAGTCGGAAGTATCATAGGTCTCCATAATAATGCCTTGACATTCAGCAATGGCGAGGTTGGAAAGAAACCCGATCAGGCCGGCGAAGATGATAGGCACCATGTAATTCGTAGGTTGACCACCGGAAGCCAAGGTGTAGGCCAACCCCGCGAACGGCAATGAGATCATGAAGATAGCCCTCCGGACGAGGTGAGACGTCCAGGTGACGCGCTTTTCAAATGTCATGCTATCAGTCCGTTGAGCATGGTGCCGTGCTCGACTGAACAACGACGCTTTTTGGAAGGGTATGGCGAAGAGAGCTCCAAGAGGGATGATCGCCACGCCCAGACCAACGTACTGGGGATGAAAGCGATAGTACTTGGAGAGCAGAGCCCCAAGAAGCTGCCAACTTGTAAGTCGTGAACCCACCATGTTGTCGTAACAGACTCACCACGATAATCAAAACCACCTGACCATATATCCATCCAAGGTAGAGCGAAAGAATCGCAAAGCCCGGTTGCAAGAGCATGCGAACGGCGAGCACGTGCCCTGCGATGACCTCTTCCCACCACCAGATTGGTCCTGTTGATTCAAGGTGCATCTTGATCTCCCCTCGAGCGACTCTTCTGGAAACTTCACCTCCGCTGCGGACCTCGGCCATCGATCTACGGTAGGCGGATCTGCGGACTTCTGGCGAGAGGATATTGAGTACGAGCACAGCGGCGTTTACAACGATTGTAATCCAGAAGCCCCAAGAAACATCCAAGCCACTTATGATACCTGCACCAACGAGGAACCCGATCCCTATCGATCCGATAGCACACCATGTCCAGATACCAAGCCATACACCCATCCCTCCTCCGTGCCTCCGAACATCGTTGACATTAACCGTCTCCTGGTGAGGGTTGCCGCTCTGCAAAGAAGCTCCGAAAAGGTCTAACAAGGTCGTAATGAAGTTAATGTTTGCAAAGCCCATTACGATTCCTGCGAAGATCCGTGGAAGTAGGAGCCCAATTCGGTATGTCGCCACATTCGGGGATCTCTGCGAGTTGATCGCAAGAGCTTGTGGAAATTGCAACGGCAAGAGTATGGCTAGTGCAGCCAGCGTGTACGGCTTTCGCCCATGAAGCAGAGGTAAAGGGTAGAAAAGCGCCGTGGTGATGGCCAAGCCAAGGAAGAAAAGCACATTTCCCAGAATGGTGTAATGATGCTCATCCGCAATAGCGTACTGAATAGCAGGCACCTCACCAGCATAGATTCCAATAATCAATCCCATGAATGCCGTCGTAATACAAGTCACAGTAGCAACATATCTCTTGCGTGAGGTGCTCCAATCCCGAGCGATTGGCGAGCGACGGTGAGATCTGCTAAGACTGAAGCCATGTGACTCTCGGATACTGAAATGATGACGGTCATTCAAAGTGAAATCCTTGTTGCCGTAGCGCTCCCTATGATGTGAAGCCTTTTGATTGTCGTCGGCGTCACGTAGTGATGCGGCAGTATCTTGGCGAGGTTGTATTCCACGTCCGCCAGGTCTTGCCGTATAATGACCATCACCAGCCATTGTCTCTTGGACTACCGGATGGTAGTGAATCCCAGCGGTCTTGAAGTCTGCCATGTACGGTACATGTTCGCAATCGCTTTGTCCATCACTATCAGAAATTTCGGGGCCTGGTAAGTTAAGCTCCTCTGGCTGTGGGACTCGGCCTTTTTTCAAACGTTTTGAGCTCAGGCGAGGCTGAATTGGTGGCTGCTGGTGAGCATTGACGTAGTCTCGGACAACTTCCCTCGAAATAGTGCTCTCAGATGCACCGTGAGCTCGCAGGAGCAAAGCGTGTTGCTCTTTCGTAGAGGGTTGCGCATTGGGTGGCGTCTGAGGAGCACGTGGCGGTGGCTTCATCTCCAGACGTAGCTTAGAAGTGTGAGATGGTGCTCTAATTACCGCCCAGTCGTTTGCAGTGAAAGACTGTTCCCGCGATGGTCCTTCAGCTCGGCCAGCCGCCTTTCGAGTGCTTGGTAAGTCAAGGAGCCGATTTGTATTTTGCGGCTTCATATGTGTCTTATCATCAACCTCAAGGTACGGCACTGCGGAGGCCTGCCTTGTTTGCGCAGGATATGGTGTCCCATCCCGAGCTTTCCTGAAGTGGCCACGGTAAAGAGCATCGCTCTTGGGCTCCTCGATAGTCACTTGCTGAGGCGGTACCGACGTGTAATGATCTTCTTCATCGCCACCTCCAGATAGGGACGACAAGCCTTGGCTGCTGTCGATCGACTCGGTTGAGTGTGCGCGAATATGGACATGGTTGAGGTGATGAGCCTTTAGTGGCGAAGTCTCAGCATCGTCCTCGTCGGCAGCTTGGCCGGCAATGGTCAAAGCTTGGTTGAGTAGAGACTCGAGGTCATGAATGACTTTCGTAAAAGCCGTACCGTTTTTCTGCTGATTCGGTAAGGCCAGAAACCGATCTATGCTGTCTGTATTTTCCGGTTTCTCGACCTGGGTCTCATCGCCCAGTGCTTTGTACCCCTTGCTAGCCGATAGCGTGGCCTTATCTTGGGTAGTACCTGCAAAATGGCGACGCGGCCTAGTTGTCAAGTTCGAAATCGCTGTAGAGCCACTCTTTTTACGCCTCGTGATTGAGCGTAAAGAAGGTGTTTGAAGTCCGGTCCGGGCACTAATCTCAGAGAGCATTGACATGGCCCTACCGGCTGTTGAAGCCTTTGGAGATTTCTGAGAGGAGTTTTTGTATTGCGCAGCCGAAGCCTCATCTCCGACTTCTAGGTCGGTCCTTTTTCCTCGCTCTCCCTTGGCATGAGAATTGGCTTGAGAAGGCTTTGGCAGAAGAGGAGAGTCTTGGCTAAGAACGCCTTCATCTGCGTTGAGGGGAACCGATTCCAGGCTAGACACCGAGGGCGAGTAGGTGTTCGTAGATGCCTTCTCAGGTACTACAAATGGCTCGGTGGTCAAAGAATGGGCACTGACGTCCTTCATTGTGCTTTGCCTTAGTGGTGGTAATTGAGCTAGCAAAGCCGAGATCTTTGGACCACCTAGGGGATCGCTCTCCTCTTCCGGATGGGTAGAGAAGTCAAGAATGTCGCGCGCGTTCAAAGCCACTGAAGCTCCAACTTTTCTCTCTTCGTTATCATCCCCAACAATGAATACGGGCGCTTCAGAGGGGTTGTCATGAGAGTGGCCGTGGCCGTGGCCCGCACTAAACGTGAGAACAGGTTGAGCGGCTTGACCCACGGCGGCTTCACCAGCACGAAAATTTAAGAGCAGATCTTGAGGCTGCTTCACGGGGCTAGTCGGTGTTAGCTTTGCTTGTGACGGCGTCCTGTGTAGACTCGATCTCGATGGTTCAGCAACGATGTGGGCATGCTCTGCCACTTGAGTCAACATATCGATGGCTTTGTGCGGACTCCCGTCGCCGAGTCCTGCATACGCCGGCATGGCCCGCGGATCCTCGCCCGTCGTATCTAAATCGTCGTCTGGAGGTGGAGAAGTGCCCCTAGAGACCCGCTCCTTTTTGCTAGGGACCTCAGATCGATAGCTACCCGGAACATGTGAGGGAGCGGGTCTCACAACCTTGTTAACGTTGACTGCAGGCGGTACGGTGCGTAGGTGAAATCGTGGTACGCGGGTTCCAGTCGATGTCTTGGATGTCTTCGATGCCGATGATGTTGCCCGCTTTAGTCCATCAACGAACGAAGCATCGCGGCCAAGAACGTCAGCATGAGATCGTTGATTCAGGCCTGACGTGGCATGCGAGCGAGGTCCCTCCACTGTTGAGTTACGATCGTTCTGCCTATTTGGCTGACTTGGTCGTCTCGGAGATTTATCAGCATCGTCATCATCGACCTGACCGGCAGGTCCATCGAACCTGGTAGCTCCCATTTCCGGAGGCTCGCACGTCAATCGAGTGAGCTCAGCAATGGCTTGAGCTGGACTGAATCTGTAAGTGTGGGGAAGGACAGGAGGGAGGTCAAGATGGTTCCTGTCAGGATCTCGAGTCTGATAGCTGTAGTCCGGAGTAGAGCAGGGTGTTTTCGGAGGGTATCGGCGGTTGCGAGAGATCAGTAAAGACCGAATGCGGTCTCGGAGATCCGCGTCTACCGCCGAGGATGTTGTCAAGCCCCGCTCAGGTAGCAAAGGTGCATCGACCCGGCGAGCAACCTTCTCCATAAGCAGAAGCTGGGAAAGGGCTACAGCATCGGGACGGTGACGAGATTAGGATGTAGGCTGCTATTAATTGATGCAAGAAGAGAGGGTGATGGAGAAAGAGTAGGTGATTCTGAAGACAAGAGAAAGGAAAGAAAGACACAAGCAACGGCCTTGACATCATTACAAGTCTCGTTTTTCCTTTCAATTTGAATAAAGAGGGAAGGAACGGTAGTCTTCAAATGTAGATGGAAATACCCTCGACGGTATGCGCTGCGTTCAACAACGACAGCGACGATTCAGCCCACTCATGGGAAAGCATTATTTGCTGCGCATCAGGAAGCCTATGGAGTTGGAGACGCCGAAAACTTCTCAACGCCTCATTTACATTCACCAAAAAGGCCAGTGATTGATTCATGGCTCTTCAATGTCCTTTGAACTCACACCCATGGATGTTGGTGAAATCCAAGTGTTGTCTATCCGACTCCACCGAAAGTTCCAATGTTTGCTAAGCAACACTGACCACAGAGCTTCACTGTAATGTAGAGTGCCTAAGTGACTCTCTACGATTAGAATGGGAGGAGGGGAAACCAGAAATAGAGACCGAAAGAGCGATGATGAGGTTGGACCTTTTACATTTATGACTTAGCGGCATTTGCCTTATCTCTTGGCATCGGAGCTATCCGTGACCCCTGTGTCTATGTATTGTCGATCACGATCACGATCACGATTCACGATTCACGAGGATCGCCTTACCCGGGATGCCCGGCCAATCCCCACGCTTACACGCGGCTTCATTCGACCTACTTACCCGACGACTGATGCAGGTCGGAGGTCAGCTTGTAAAAGGTGGGTGGCCTCATGGCTGTGTGCACATACACGAGCACAGCCTGCTCGCATCTCCGTCCGCTGAAGAAAAAGATACATGTAGACTACGAGCAATGTGGCGCATCAGCTCAGCTGACTCGGTGTCGGACGTACCTTATATTGCACAGGCCGGGGGAAGCTAACGACACCAGGAATATATTCATTCGAGCATGGTCGTATGCAAGGGCCACCCGGCTCAAAAACGGCCTGACGAGGTATTTCTGCAATGACCTTGTGATACCTACCTTGTAAAGCTCAGCACTGATGCGGCTACTATCTCAACGCCTGACCGCTATAAGTTTCGTAACGGTAGCGGGATTCCCGGGTTGCAGCTGTATATAAAGATCAGCGTCTGTGCTTCATCTTTGCTTCGATGTACTCTTGTTCAAGTCCCGTTTTGCTCAAGAAAAAGAGGAAGAAGAAGAAGGAGAAGAAGAAGAAGAAGTTCTCAGCCATTCCCAATCACCTTTTGAACGAAAGCCTCGCCCATCCCATATCATCGTTGACTTCTCTGTCTCTCAGCATCAGCCTCGGTCACAGGGACCATGCATGTTCTCCAGCTTCTCCCGTTGGCTTCACTTGCTCTCGCGGTTTCGAATCCCAACAGCATCACCAAGCGTCAGTCTTCTTGTACCAGCGAATCATGGGCCATACAACAATATCATACCTGCACCAATTGTACCTATCCTGGCTCAACACAAGAGACTACGTCACTCGTCTTTAACTTTGCGGATCCCAACTTCAACCCAGCTGTTACAGCTACGTGTGAGCTGAGCCTGTTGCCTGGCTCATCGCTCATCGATTTCAACTACACTCCATGTGGATCAGGCGTGGCGTTCTACTACGATGGAACCGATCTCAACGTGGAACGAACGGGTGTCGAGTGCGGAAAGTAAGCATGCCCGCTCCTTCAATTGTATTCAGGAAGTCAGAACGCTGACAAATATTCTTAGCCACACTTACACTTACAGCGGAGCTGTCGATGTTACCGATGCGACATTCTGTTATGGACTCTTCGGTGGAACGTACTGTGAAACGCCGGTTGGCCAAATCAATGTGCCCGTGTCATTCATCCAGCAAACAAGTGCAAGGTGATCTCTGTTGAATGGTGGACTCGATTGCCGTCCGGGCTGTTGAGGTAATGGTACGGGAGAACATGACGCGCCTAACGTGATATGGCTCAAGTTGAGCATGGCTTGCAAACTAATCATAAAGTTCAGCGTGGCGTTCTGGGTATGCCGTTGATCGCCTGGCAAAAAGGTATAGATAGTTCCGAACATGCATGCTTAGAATGGCAATAGATCTAAGATAATTAATAAACCAGAGAAATGCAGCAAGACGCTCACGTCGTGCTAGATTGCCAAATATCCCCCAAGAGCATTCTCTTCCAATTTTTCAAACCGGATCCTCAACCTTGTTGACATGCCAACTAGACAGAAATCACCCCTAGACTCACCCCCCAATTGGGCATCGAATGAGCGCCGCCCAAAGGTCGCGCGACGGCTGATCCTGGGTATTCCTGCGCCCCCTATCATTGGGGCTGAGCTGCCGCCTGATCCCCACTTGATCAGGAACCATTCCGTTTTTCCTCCCACGCCCAGGTCTTCAGGGGCATACTGGACCCGCGGTGGGATAGATTCGCGTGTTTACCGGAAAAGCGGCGACGACGGAAAGGAGACATGATATCGACCTCTAGCATACTCCGAATTCTCTCTTCCCTATTTCTCTCGAGACACTCGATTCGATTCTCCTCCATCGCTCCGTCCCACAGAAGAGTGAACTCGGCGAGTCTCCGGTCGTTTCCCTGAAGCGTCGATCTGATGCCGGAATACAATCGCCGGAGAAGGTAACGGGCTTGGATCTTTCCTCCCCCGGGCGGGCTCCTGGCCGGGATAGAAACGCTCGCGTAGCGGGAATTAGACAGTCGTTCTCGTCGACCGGGATGTCCGGAAAATTCGTTGTGGTAGTGAAACGGGTGTCTATATGAGCTCCGACAGTGGTGACGTTCGTTGACAGAGGGTCGATCGATCGGAGACGGGTTGATAGGTTGTGCAAGTGGTATGGTCGCTGCAAATCCCAGACGCGCTGAACAGATGACGCCGATGAGGGTGAGGATCAGCATGAATCCCTTTTGCTGAAACATTGCCGGATTTTGGCTCCAGAGGCTCGTGAGAGTTCTGCAGGATGCCGGAAATACTGTTGTGGCTGGTGACAATCTGTTGTGCTTGTGCCTTTGGGATACATTCAAAACGCAGTTCTGGTACGTTTTAGGTCGTTCGGTTCTGAATTCGCATGAATCGTGATCTTGTTTGAAGATCTGTTGCGCCTCTGAGTGGATGCCTATACTTACTGAATGTGACTTTCTTCCTGAAACATTGAAACATCGAATGCGAATTGAGGCGCCTTTGTATCTATCCGCCGGGCGAAGCATGTCTTTTTGAGGTGTACAGAATGGCCATGTTCTCGTGCGTCGACGTTGCTTGCACAAACTTGTATAGGAATGGGACAAAGACACTAATCTTCCTCGCTCTTTTTAGAAAGAAGAAAGCATCAAAGAAATCCGGGCTATCAAGACTTGAGCGTTCAATAATGGTATTGACAGCGCTCTAGGCTTAGCACCTACATTACCTGCAAAAAGACACAATAGCGTAGGCACGCTTTCTCAATGCAGCGATGGGACAGCTGCCTGAGGTGGTGACATGCACGATCTAGCTCCCCAGTGAGAAGCTTTCGTCCGGCATAGTCATTTGACCTTCTGGTCGCTGTGCTGAAAAGAATACTAAGACTTAAGTAAATGTAGATAAGAAAAGCAAGAAGTGGATGAGCTGCTGATTTCTGGTACATTGTTTTGGGTCGTCCGACATCCAAGGATGACTTCTCTACTAAATCCTATCCCACGGTGGTTCACTGGTTTTCTCAACACAATTATACATCGCAACCGTCAAAAGCGCAAAGGATTGGCGTGCCAAAATGACTGATATCTGCATCGACGTCACGCCGCATACAGGCTAGGGCGGGCGCCACTATATGATCGCGAGAGCTGGGTGGTTTGGAGGGTAGCGTGATGTACTCGATGGGATTTTGCACGGCGTAGCACATCGCAGAGCCCGCGGCCTCGAAGACGCTCAGCTACCCTCTAAAGTAGGACAGAGCTCAGCTATTTTCGTATAAACCAGATCCTTTGTAAGTGAATCTATCACCGTAGGCAGATAGACGCAATGCTTGAGGTATCTGAAGACCGGAAGAGTATCCTGGAGGCGGGCATGTAGTTGCTGAGGGCGGCCCATCTATCTCAGCACTTGTCTAGAAATGGAGATGGGCGTGGTATGATATACCTACCGAGTATGGCAGAGAAGCAACAAACGGGATGAGATTATCCTATACATAGACACAAATCGAGGATCCCAATACCTGAATAGGTTCAAGCATACAGATTTCCAGGGATAGGAGGCGCAACATCTCGAGCCGTAGTGAAACAACAGTGGCCCACGCTGTCTTGATCGGTGCTGACCACTTTCGGAGGCTTGGCACCTCTATATCTAGCCACTTGTTCTTCTTGTGCGCTTTATCGATTTCTGAGCGAGTCGGGGCGGCCAATAATTGCATACACATGTTTGAGGCGCCAAGAAGAAGGGTAATGAATACATTGATAACCACGTATACGATTGTACTCAGCTTGCTTGTCTGTGTGCAGTCGCCTTGGAAGAGAGAACTGATGTGTTCATTAGATCCCATTTTAATCTTGAAGACTACAGTGCACGTGAGATTGATAAGGAAGATGACTATGTCGGTCTCCGAGCATGTCGATAGCACGGCGCCTCTTTTTGAATGCCGTTACTGAACGTCTTCGCTCGATCGTGCTGTGGATCTACTGTCGGTAACTAAAGGCAAACGTTCTCGAGTGTGGTAAATTGAGGACTTCGGATTATCTCCTTCGTGATGAATGGAGAAGGACTCTGCTCAGAACGCGTGTCATCTCCAATCAACGTTACCCTGTTCTCGACATGTGTATAAGCTCCTTGTAGATGAGGGACGGACATAATTTCCCATGTCTTTCTGACTTTCCACACGAAAAATGCAGAAGCTTCCAAAGGTTTCTGAGCTCCGTTATCTGCCGGGCCTTTGGGCTTTCACGGCTGCGCCCGCGAGGTGGAGATGGCGATCATGCCCCAACGCTCAGTTTGTACCTCGCTGAATCATTAACTTATTACGTGATACGATTCTCCTAGGGACCAATATTGGCCTTTGGCCTGTGAGAGAATGAGAGCCAAGCCTCGTCTAATTAGGCCGGGCTAAGAACGAGAGAGCCCTCTCTTAGCATTTAATCTGGGATGTGATTCGTGTACCCCTTCTTAATATATTGCCCCTCCCCCCAACACCAAACACATCCGGGTACAACTTCGGGGTACCATGGGTGCCAGACCCGACGCGCAAGCAATCATGACTATATCCCGCCCAACAAGACCTTTTTGTTTATCATTTACCTATATTTAGCATTGACCGTTTGCCTCCGGCAGGGCTAATCTAATTAGAATCACCGAAAGAGTGTGGGAGCGAGTGTGTACAGGAGATGCCCCGAAAGGATAGTAAGACCAATGGCGTCTCAAATAAAGCCGCGGTTCTTAAGCTCTGTCTTCCGGGGCGACCCTGTTGCCAGTACATTGTACTAATGAAGCCTGCTTTCAACAGATTTCCATTAGATCTCTCTTCTTGCAGGTCTTGGATATTTTGATGAGCAGGAAGTGTTCATCATTAAAGTAGGATCGACTGTCGATTCACTCCTGCTCAGCTAGCTCACTCGCTAAAGCGGCTACGCCCGCGCGAGTGGGGGTTACTTGTCGTGCCAAGATATCGGAAATCTGCGGCGCCTCGGGCGAACAGGAATAAAAGTGTCTACAATATTCGTGAAGTAGTCAAAAGAATGGCAGAAGCCACTGATATCGAATAACAACTGTAAATGCGTACATCACATTTTCACCAAAAGACTGGCGCTAATACGAGGATCGCTTAGGTAGTCTCGATGCTGGGAGAGCCGTAGAGTAGCTCGTCTATGCCACCAGGGAGCTTTTGGGGAATTGATAGAATCATTTCGCACGTTCACCATTTCCTTGGTCATCGAATTCAAGAGATCCCTGTAGTCATTCGTAGGAAGGAGTAGGTGCTTTTTTTTCTGTGCCTTTGGAAGCTCTCTAGGTGGTAGATATCAAACAGGAAAGGCAGTATCCATTCGTCCGCCCTTGGCTTCACCAGAACCTTGCATAATGTAAGGCAGTTGAAGACTGACCTGAGAAGCGTATGTGATAACAGCAGTACGCATATGTGCTGGCGGTGAGAGCTACTTTTTCGAAACGATTTCAAAAAGAGAGTGGAAACAAGGTTGTGAGAGTTAAATATCAAGAGAGTCCAGAAACCATCCCCACAGGAACTCACCTTTGCAGAGAAAATTATTGTCCAACGACAATGGCGCACCTCCTGAAGAAACCCCTAAAGCTCGCTCTCGTGCAGCTCGCAACAGGCACGTCCTCCCAACCTCACCCCCACCACCACCACCACCTCCTCCTCCTTTTCTGACCCCTTTACTCCCTAGGCGCCGACAAACCCGCCAACCTCGCCCGCGCCCGCTCCCGCGTCCTCGAAGCCTCCAAAGCTGGAGCCTCTCTGATCGTCCTTCCAGAATGCTTCAACTCCCCCTACGGCTGCCAGTACTTCCCCTCTTACGCCGAGACTCTCCAACCCTCCCCTCCCACCAAAGAGCAATCACCGAGCTTCCACGCCCTCTCCGAGCTAGCCGTCGAGAGTAAGAGCTACCTGCTCGGTGGCAGTATACCTGAATATGTGGAGACTACGAAGAAATACCACAATACTTCCCTGCTCTTCTCGCCCAAGGGAGACCTACTAGCCACACACCGAAAGGTGCATCTGTTCGACATCGACATCCCCGGCAAAATCACCTTCAGAGAATCAGACGTCCTCTCCCCCGGAAACAAACTGACCCTCGTCGACATCCCACCCTATGGCAAAATCGCCCTCGCTATCTGCTACGACATCCGCTTCCCCGAACTCGCCACCATCGCCGCGCGCAAGGGCTGTTTCCT